GTCTAGTCGAGTGGATTGCGGCGCTTAGTTCCGCGGCACCGGCGCCCACAGTCTGATTTGTAAGAGCCAACTCAAAAAATTACAGCAATATTTCTCAGAACAGCGAGTTGTTTACAGTTAGGTACAGTAAGCTATTTTAGTATTTTTTAGGAATCAGTTTATTGTTTAGTACGCAATTATTGACAGAATAAATCATTACGTTACATAATATAATCTAAAGGGCATATAAATTATTCATTTTCAGCAGTTGTCTGAAGGCTAGGAAGTTGCGCCTCTACATAACGTCTTAGCGAAGTGATTGCAATCAAAATCGCACGTTACGTTTTTTGTAAACTTTTCCGTTTTTCCTGGCCTCGGTGGATGGATGAAGTATGAGAGGTTTCTTCAGAAATAATTAGAGATGTTCTGTTTCAAATTATATTGCAGATAACCAATATGTACAGAGGTTGGTGTGCGACCGATTGAACATTGTTAAATATTTCTAAGTGACACATTTAGTACGAGAAAGAATAAAGAAAATCTGATACTATGTTTTGTTTTACATTTCAATTTGGAGGTGGTGCCGAGTGCAAAAGTAAATGATGTAATATTGTGACTAATTACAAGTAGGCACACCGTTGTACGTATATTTTTAACTTCATAGCACAAATGACTAAAACGTGTGTTTTCAATCAAAAGTTTTCTAGTACCTATAACAGTTCACGTAAAATAGGATGTGTAATTCTCTTTTAAAGTGAGCAGGCGTTTTCGCTTACCTTATGGTACATATGCGCTCGCCGTTACGTAACACGGACGCTCTTGTTCGAAACATCCAAACCTGGGCTAAGTGTTGGCCGCATGGAATATTTAAATGACTCTACATTTTCATGCAGCGATAATCCTCCGAGTCTCAATTTGCTTCTTTGAAGAGTCACTTTAAATTTATGGTCGCATCATTTCCCCTGTTTTATAAGTCTTTCAAGGGGCGTTTACCTATTTCTTTTTCTAAAAGTAGAGCAGGATGCCTATGTGTATCCTAAAAACACATGTAGGGGTTTGATACAAGGATTTTCGTAGTCGGATTTTTCGTATAAATTCATAATTTTCTTCATTCAGTAAGTAGCCTTCGTTTTTTTTAGTTAATTCTAAACATTTATTAATCCTTCAAGCTCCGCGAATCTAGACACAATAGATAATCAATTGTTATGACATTAATTAATGCCGTCTGGGACTCAATCGGTTAATACACTGTAATTAATTTTGTTTTCATTTTAAAGTATATTGACTGGTCAATGGGCATTGTAGTCGCTGCGTGTAAATCCCGCCCAAAATACAAAGAGGACAGCAGAAGCAATTAGAGAAGTTTTAAAGTTGAAAGAAATCCAATTGGGCTTAGTGCCGCCATTGTTTGGAAGTATAATGGTGTTTTGTGCCGCCATGATGAATTTTCTAGTGGATATTATAGGGAGATGATATTATCTTGTCGTGGTATTTGGACTTTTCATCCAAGTAGATTAAGAATATATTATTCTTATTTCAATATAACTTGATTTATATTATCAGCCAACAACTTTGTACAAAAGGTGCTCAAAAATATAAGTTCTTTGTCGGTATAATAATATAATCAAAGAGCCATGAGCTTCACAGGCAATAACCAAGTTTTCGTATTAAATGGACAGTTGAACTGTTTCTGAGGTTTATTTGAAAAGTTGAGGATAGCTATTGTGACAACTATAGTTATTGACTGTTGAACTTATAAATGTTATTATGTAGTTTTTGGTCGATTTATTTTTTTGAAGTTTGGACATAACTCATAAGTTAGTCATGTCAACTCATAATATGTGATCTACATCATTAGGATTCGTTAGCCGAATTAACAACCGAATTGAGAACCTCCTCCTTTTGTTGAAGTCGGTTAAAATAGATTACTTAAGATACAATATGAGCTCCGATAAAACGATAAAAACATTCCAACTTTTTTCTTTACAAGTCATCAAACCGATATACCCACTTATGTCCAGACGTCTACCCATTTCATTAGATTTTATTAAGATAAGTTTTATTATTTGACTTCAAATACTTACGTTACATAATATTGAAAAACTTTTGAATTATTTCAGCATTATTAAAGTCCATGCCAAAAGAAAATGCACATTATAACAAATCGGTAGAGTAGGAACTATATTTGATTGCAAAATAATGTTAAGGATACTGAAACAATTCAATTTTATCCCGATGCATTAACGAAATTGACAGTCTATTGGCGCAAACTATAGGTCCATTAAGTAGCCTCCCACCGATGGGGCTTAATAGTTAATTAGGGCTCTTTCACCGGCCTGTCCGAGGGCTCCGGAGACAGGGACTACGCGCGACAAGCCGCCGCGACAGCTGTGACTGATTAGTACCGCTGTTTGATTGATATCTGCTGATAGTAGGTACATAGTAGATATACTTATATGTATAGATTAGGGGACTATAATTAGGTTATCGAAGCTACGGAATAGAATAGTTTTTTATTTGAAAGAAAGACATACAAGCAGGAAAGACATAGGTACATAATGAAAGAGATACACAAATGGACAGATTAGCATACATCAAGACCGTGCCAGGGCTTGTCTCGAAACTGATTTTCTACGGAGAGCACATCTTCAAGGAACATTCCTTGTGCATGGGCCTACCTTCTGCATAAATATCCTCAATCTCAAATCTCGTATACGAATATAAAGACATAAAAATTATTGGCATATTAATAATCATGCCATCATTATTATTCTCTACTATAGGAGCACGTTCCTCTCTAATTTGCCAGAAGCAAAATGGAGGATTTAGCCTACTAACACTTCCCGGGCCAGGCTGTTTGGGAGGTACTTTTTCTTAAAAATATACTAAAATACGATACTGTGATCTTAAGAACAGTTTAAGCCCTTGTAAATCTTATTTACTGGGTCGACCCCGATAAGCTCGTAGTCGGGACAGACTTAACTAGGTTTCACTAAGGACAAATTTTGCTACCCTATTAAGTAGGTATGTTTTACAAATATTTCAAATTTAACATAATTTACAATATTTTTACAATTTGGAATTAACTCGCCAATATTCCATACGGGGATTCCATCCCAATCATCTCGCATGAGCTGGAATCGGCTCCAATCAGCTCACTTATTAATTAACAAGAGGAATACTTTATCACACTGCACATAAATTACGTTAATCGATTCCGTGTAATCGCTTCGAGCCGAATATTACGGTCGAGTTAATACATCGAGTTGAAAAGCATGATGGCTCGAAAAATACTGTTGAAATTTTGTGAAACGAAGTGTTTGGACGAACCTTACCTCATTTGTTGCTTAACTTTATCATTAAAATATTCCCACCTCTCGTTCCCACCACTGCAACTCCTGTGTAGCCAGGATCTACAGCTTGACCGCCACAAAAACCCAACCAATGAAGGTCAAGTTTGTCCCGGGGGAAAGTTAAACTGTCATTGGACCCGCAACGAAATTAATCAGAAGAACATAGGAGGAGTTCGAAATTAAGGTTCTTAACTTTATCAGTTAACTCTACAAATCACCTATTCTATTTACCTACAGCAGAAGTATTTACCTACACAAAACGTTTTAAAACTTTTTTCAAACCATTCACAAAATAGGCATTGATCGAGTCTACAGTTTGAAACAATCCAAAACTCCGCAAGCATTTTAAAAAACAAATTCGCCAACAATCCGACGCGGGTGTAACAATCAAATTAAACCGGCCCTAAAACTTTTACAATAACCATTTATATTGATAAGGGTCTAATTGTCTATTAATTAAATATTAAAACGGCGGCAATCTGCCAAGCGCAGGATCTAAAAACTCTTCTACCTTTTGTTGTAGTGTGGTTCAAGGTGAATGGCGTAGCGTTAAATAAGTGCGTTGCTGGCAACTACTTTTAAAAGTAATATGTGTTACCAGCTATGAGACCACGGATTAATTATTGCAAATCAAAGTAGCTTTTTTAAGTAATATGCTTGTTTTTGATAACTTTTTCACCCGAGAGGTGTAACTGCTAGCTTACCCAGAAGATGCCTGTCGTATCTTTAAGGTCTTAGAAAAAAATATTGTACAAGTATAAGGTTCGTATTCCTTTATTCATGGTAACCTTTTATTAAAATACAAAGTTGAATGAAATATTACAAATGAAGTATAAAAAGATTCAAAAATCTTGGAAGCTGACGATCTTCAATGTTGACCAACTACAATTTGCTTCAGCTTGACACGATAAAGGTTATTATCGGTTAAAGCAATTGAACAGGTATTCTCTATAGTGGTTCAAAGTGGCCCTATACTAGTAGGTACCTACTTAATAGATAAAGGGGTACCGTAGAGCCGCATTTCAATTGTCCGCCAGTACTTATCCCTTGTAAAGCGCCGCTAAGGCGCGTGTATCGTTCCGATTACTCCGGAACGGCCACTTAAGGGGAAGCTGCCGTTTAGAGCATATAAACGAAATCCTAATGTAGCCTGGGATCTTCTTAATCGTCCGATACAACCATTATGTGCTTAGATTAAATGCTTTCCCTGTATTTGGAGCACTTAGTTTATTGGGCCACTGTAAAATTAATAAACAAACGTTGTGATATTATCGGTATCGTATCGTTGTATCGTTTGGAGTAAAATTTTCTGATAATTGACAATTTCAGGTATGCCCAAATCCAAAGTTCACTTAAAGGGATGCACCGACTATATTAAAGTGTGAAATGAGCAATCGGTGATTTTATCGGATTTTGTAATTGTTGAGCTTCCGATGTTTCTTCATTCTTGCATTTGATTTTACAAAACATTGGTTAATTTAGGAACCAGTTGTTCCGTGAACATTGTCGCAATATCGGAAACTCAAGAATTGGGAGAGTTTTCTTTATTTTGCTCTACCGATGCTCTATTACTCGAATATTAATGTTACTGTGTATTTATAAAAATGTTTCACATTAAAAACTATAGGTACAGCATTAATTTTATAGAAGATATTTGATTGTCCTCAGGTGGCAGGAGTGGTGGGACGAGCCGATGTCCTGGCCTGTATGTTCTTCCTATCTTCTCTGCTTCTTTATCACGGGTAAGTAGGATGAAATTCCTTAATATATCTATCTATCTATATAAATAAAAATGAATTGATGTTCGTTAGTCTGATTATAACTCGAGAACGGCTGGGCCGATTGAACTGATTTTGGTGTTAATATGTTTGTCGTAGTCCAGGGTAGGTCTAAACGGTGAGCAAATAAGGAAAGATTTGCTTATTTATTGCCTTTAAGGCGGAACAGAGTTCGCCGAGTCAGCTAGTTTATAATAAAAATGAAGAAAGAAACAATATTTATTTGATGCAAGTATATCATAAAAAGATGGAAAGTAACATTTTAGCGTACTTGTGCCAGTTTTCACCATCAATCCCTAATTTTTAAGTGAGCCCTGTAGTAACATGAATTTTGTTTTCAAAGGGGTCACTTAAAAATTAGGGATTGATGGTGAAAACGGGCATTAGTTGTACTAAGAGATACGCTTTGACTGAAGGCATTGTCTGTATGAAGCTAGATTTTCCTAACTTTAGACTAAGAAGTTAGTAGAAACGTAGCGTAAATGTTTTACGACCTCGTTTTGAAAACAGTCCAGTTTCACCTCTAATAGCAAAGTTCTTGATACGTTCTGCGTCTGGGTGTCGTTTACTAGAACTGAAACTTTTGTACAGCCAGTGCAACTATCATTTCTTATTGTTCTAATCATCGCTTATTAATTAAATAGGTGCGGTTGTAAAATATAATCAACGAACGTCCATCTAAATTTAAATGCTACATGCAAGCCCGCAACCGCTCGTCATCGTAAACCACCAAGCCAAGTGTATATTTAAGTAATAGAATAATATTAAGTTTAGTAATAGAATTTAAAATTATTTGCACTTCTAAAGATTTACGAGTAACTACAAATGAAACAGCATGCCAAATTGCACGCCTTTCTTGTAACGAAGGTTCCGTATTTTCGATTCTACATGTGCTTCGTGGTTCAGCGGTTAGAGAGTTACGCCCGTATTCACAAACGTTACTATGAGGTCTCACAGTTCGCGTGAACGCACAGAGTGACACACGAACCAATCACAGAGCTCTATTTAACGCTGTGTATTCGATTTACCGCTTCACTTAGGCAAGCATCGTTTGTGAATATGGGCGTGTGACTCTTGATTCAGAAGCTCGAATCCCTTTTATGACTGCTTTGGTAGTGACAAAGCTGGCTAGATCCAAAAATGCTGTGTCTTGGAGAGAACTCTGCTTCGGTAATGGCACAACAAGTCGGCCACAATAACAATTTACAACTAAAGCGAAGAGGTAATTATTAGCGGCGAGTTCGGTCGCAGGCGGCTCGCACGACGCGCCCCTATTTATCCCGGGGACAACTTATACAGGGCTGCCTTAATAAATATGTATCCTATTTTACTATCTTTCCAAACACAGATTTGATTTTTTATCAATTAAACATGGACAGTAGTTATTGTGAGGTAAGTAAGACAGTCTTCTCGTGGTGAAGTGGTCAAATGCGTCATTTCATATTGTTCCGGCAATAAAAATAACAAAACTTTAATCGGCTACCTACTGGCTTTAATCGGTTCATAAACACGGAACGAACAACCACTGATATGCAAGATGACATTGTAAACACTGTTAAGCGATATTTACCCTTTCAGATACTAGCAAAACGAGACACGGAAATGTTTTATTAGGTAACAATCAAATTCATTTGATAAGCCAGCTAAATGTGTAAGTACAGCTAAATGCCATGAGAAAAGCTAGAATACATCGAAAACCTCGATTTTTACTTATGAGAACAAAGGGGCACACAGAACTTAGCACAGCCACTGAAAACAGCTTGTTGCTATAATTCTTACAAATATTACTTACGCGACAGCCCTACCCGCAGCACGTACTTTGTCGTACTTAACGCGAACTTCGCCCGTTGTTAGTAGTTTCGCCGCACAACCGACTAAGTCCCAGCTTATTTTTGTTACAACTCATAATAATATTTTTGAACTAAAATTATATGGTACAGCTAACACAGCGCAGTTTAGCGCTATGCGGTTTTACCGTATTTAAAATTATGCGATTGAAACTCAGAAACCTGAACGTGTTTATTACACTATTTGCATTTCAATTTGCTAGGAAAATTCACTGATAATAAATTAAAGATGAAAACGTTTATGTCTTAATATGTATGTAACAATAACATTAAACACTGCATTTTGACAAACCCTAGATACATTTTAAGATACAGACTTCATAATAAAATCTTAAACAACACACATTTTACAAAAGTGTGCTTTTAGTACAAAATATTAATCAAATGATGCATGGCAAAGACACCAGGTCACCAGTGTCACCTAGTAATTTGTCAAGGCATGCAATGTCAATATTAATCTATTCGTTACAGGCAAGCAGGTCAGACCAAAATAAAAAAAATAAAAAATCAGCTTTAAAACATAAGACTATCTATGGTTCCAGGTCCTCCGGCAAGCACCGCGTGTGGTCGAGCGTCGTGCTGGCAGCGCTCAGTATGATGGCCAAGGAGACTGGTCTCACGGCGCTGCTGTTCAACATCACCTTCGACCTGTACCGGAGTTGGACTCCTATTACGAGGTACATAGGGACTAATATGGAGTTAACATTTTGCGGATTTGTACGAGTACATTCACTCTTAGGCACAAATTACATACCTAATAGAGCTCCTACAAATAAAACGTATGATCCGGACGTTAGCCGTCCGTTTGCATGGAAAATTGCATGACAATTCCAACAGTGTTTGTGGTCTTGCAAACCAAAGACGTCCTGTTAAACACGTCTAATTTAAAACAGTCTGAAATCTAAGTAATTTTTCAGTTCAATAGTTAACTAATAATTCTGAGAAAAATTTCTCCAAAAACTGCCCATTTTATCACTGAAAACCCAATTAGCTTTCAGTTAACTGTAAAATTAGATTGCTTTGAAATCAATAAAATAGTTAATCGATTGGGTGGGCAATCAGCGTGATGTAATAAGTTTGTATTGCTTTACAAATTCTAGTTGAATGTCGCGTTGACGAATTCACAAACGTTTGGTTAATTTAACTGGAGGACTTTATTGTTAAAAATGTAACAATAAAGTCCTCCAGTTGTACTAATGGTTAAATATAAACAAAATGTAACCTAATAGTTAAAAAAATTACTAAGGGTGGGTTGCACCATCTTACTTTGACTGTAACAAACATCATCATTATCATTATAGTTACGGTCAAAGTTTGGTGGTGCAACTCAGCCTAAAAGTCAAGCTAACAATAAAATTGATCATTTGACATGTGTCAAGTTTGACTATTGGTTAATACTAAAAAAAAAACTATGAATAAAAAACTGGGCCTAACTGGTATGAAAAAACCTTTTTTCAGACCATCCATAGCAGTGAAATGGAGATGGAAAAGCGACAGCGTATGCGGCAGAGTGACGCGGATGGTGGTAGCGTTGGTGCTGCTGGTCGGTGTCAGACTTACGCTGCTACAGGGCTCGCTGCCGGCGTTCTCGCCGCAGGATAACCCACCAGCTTTCCACCCTTCTTTTGCTGTCAGGTACTTAAGTCATGGACTTCTTCTCAAAAGGCTTCCTTGCACAACACTACCTTTTGGTATTTGTATCTCTGTCTACTGCTCGGAGTCGGAGGAAACGGTATTTTTAAATTAAGGCCGCACACGGCCGCCTCCTTGGCCACGCGACACTGGCCACTAAGAAAAATCTTAATTATTTCTCGACGACCAAAATCGATGTTCTTTTGTTTCTTTTAAGACATAATGATAACGAACTCTCACGCTAAATTATTATTTTCCTCGTCTCGATTTTTTTGTAAATATAAAATTGTTTGTGGTCAAGTAAGTGATAAACTCGTATCTGTGGACATTTGCTGGATTTGAAATGAAGATTGAAGATAAAGTTTAATGATTTAATTATTATTATTTATTAGCCATAAAGTACTACAAATATAGTTTCCGCTTAACAATAAATTAGTATTCTATTATAATTTTTTTAAACACAAATGTCAATAGTTACATCCTATGATTGTAACATGAGTATATTATAGGTATTTATTAATAGTTGTTATATTCAGATTAAGAAATTAGGAATAAATCAAGTTCGAGGGCAACTTCGAGTATTTAAATAAAAATAGAAGTGATCCGATTTAACGTCGTATTCTATTAGATCGTAATTATCTGTCTGGTCAGGTGGGGATGATTTTTGGATGGCTTAAACATGGAGTGCAGGTGCGGTTTTGTTCCCCAGTTGATGAAGCACCTGATGTCATGCCCTGAGTGTCCAAGCAACTGCACTCAGGAGGATTTGATGAGTGCTACTGACAACGCCACTCTTGTGGCGGAGTTTTGGGCTGACACTGTGTAGGTTTGTTGCCGACACGAAAAGAAGAACAAGAAGATCGTAATTATCACGTTCTCATTTGTTTTTTTACAGACTGATGACCTTCTGCTACCTAGCAGCATTCAACTGGTGGCTACTCCTGTGCCCCTGGACGCTGAGCCACGACTGGCAGATGGGCTCGGTGCCGCTCGTCACCAGCGGCTGGGACCCAAGGAACCTGCTCACCTGCGCCGCGCTTATAGCCTTGGTGGCGCTGTCCTACAGATGCTTCTTGGATTTGGAGGTGAATAACATATAGCTAGACATCCTGCTACCTAGCAGCGTTCAACTGGTGGCTTCTCCTGTGCCCCTGGACGCTGAGCCACGACTGGCAGATGGGCTCGGTGCCGCTCGTCACCAGCGGCTGGGACCCAAGGAACCTGCTCACCTGCGCCGCGCTCATAGCCTTGGTGGCGCTGTCCTACAGATGCTTCTTGGATTTGGAGGTGAGTAACATATAGCTAGATATTCTGCTACCTGGCAGCCTTCAACTGGTGGCTACTCCTGTGCCCTTGGACGCTGAGCCACGACTGGCAGATGGGGTCGGTGCCGCTCGTCACCAGCGGCTGGGACCCAAGGAACCTGCTCACCTGCGCCGCGCTTATAGCCTTGGTGGCGCTGTCCTACAGATGCTTCTTGGATTTGGAGGTGAGTAACATATAGGTAAGACACTCTACCGAGTGAAGTGGCGACCACGGGCTGGAAGACGTAGCGTGGGCAGGCCTCCTACTGGGTGAACCGACGATCTGGTAAAGGTCGCGGGAAGAGCCTGGATGCGGGCAGCGCAGGACCGTGCATTGTGGAAAACCTTGGAGGAGGCCTTTGTCCAGCAGTGGACGTCATTTGGCTGAAACGAACGAACGAACGAACGAACTCTACCTAGCAGCGTTCAACTGGTGGCTACTCCTGTGCCCCTGGACGCTGAGCCACGACTGGCAGATGGGCTCGGTGCCGCTCGTGACCAGCGGCTGAGACCCTCGGAACCTGCTCACCTGCGCCGCGCTCATAGCATTGGTGGCGCTGTCCTACAGATGCTTCTTGGATTTGGAGGTGAATAACATATAGCTAAGACACTCTACCTAGCAGCATTCAACTGGTATTCTTGTGCCCCTGGACGCAATAATTCAAAATAAAGCATCGTCGAATATCAATGAAGATGGTAGGTTTCTGACAATTAAGTTTTTGAGCACAATGCTTACTAAATAAGATAAGGTTTACACGGGCTTACCAGCTAGCTACCTACGTGTTGAGGAATACATACAAACTCAACTGCTTAAGAATCAGTCAGAAACGAGATCAGTCTTGACACGCAAACTCTTGAGATTTGTAAGACGAAAAATGTAATGAACTACGAGTACCTAACATACTATGATGTAAAATCACCCACACTCTGTTAAATTCTTATTTTAGTACCATCCTAAATGTTTTCTTGGAAATAAGTTCTGGTCTTTTCTTATTCCAGCTGCACCGGCACACGCCAGCCGTGGTAGGGCTGCTGCTGCTCGTCATCCCGTACCTGCCCGCCTCCAACCTCCTCGTCACTGTGGGCTTCGTGGTCGCAGAACGAGTTCTGTACATACCCAGGTTAGCCATTATCTTTTATGACTAGCCTATAGCGATTCCTGTACCTATTTAGAAGAGGACCACTCACAATCTCACCTGCTGCGGCAATGGGTAAAGTCACTTATACATCTCTTCTCTCACACGCATAAGTTTTGGTGCTTCCAGTGAGAATTTTGGTGCTGCTGACAGCATAAGGGATATAGCGGCAGTAGAGCTACTTATTTACTTATCTTCTTTCACATGCTTTAAGTTTCATTTCTCCTAGCGTTGATTCGATTAGTTATTGATCTCTTTTCACACGCTCCATATCTTCTTTCTATATTTCTTGCATATTATTATACCGTGCAGCTGATGCGATCTTACATACTGATCATTTCACACACGCTCCATATCTTCTTCCTTCCAGCCTGGGCTCAGTACTGCTAACAGCGTACGGCACGCAGCATGCAGCTGAAGCGAACCTATTTATTGGTCTTTTCTCTCACGCTCCATATCTTCTTCCTTCTAGCGTGGGCTCAGTACTCCTGACGGCATACGGCTTGCAGCTGATGCGACCCTACTTATTGATCTTCTCTCACACGCTCCATATCTTCTTCCTTCTACCGTGAGCTCAGTGATGCTAACAGCATACAGCTTACTGTGACCTTGCTTATTGATCTTTTCTCTCACACTCCATATCTTTCTTCTTCTTTCCAGCGGGGGCTCTGTACTCCTGACAGCGTATGCCGTGCAGCTGATGCGATCTTACAATAAGTATCTTGCAATAGTAATCTTTTCTCTCACGTGTTCCATCTTCTTCCTTCCAGCGTGGGCTCAGTGCTGCTAACAGCATACGGCGCGCAGCATGCAGCTGAAGCGAACCTATTTATTGGTCTTTTCTCACACGCTCCATATCTTATTCCTTCTAGCGTGGGCTCAGTGCTGCTAACAGCGTACGGCATACAGCTGATGCGACCCTACTTATTGATGTTCTCTCACACGCTCCATCTCCTTCTTTCCAGCGTGGGCTCGGTGCTGCTAACAGCATACGGCGTGCAGCTGATGCGAACCTTTGATCTTTTGTCACACGCTCCACATCTTATTCCTTCCAGCGTGGGCTCAGTGCTGCTAACAGCGTACGGCATGCAGCAGATGCGACCCTACTTATTGATCTTCTCTCACACGCTCCATATCTTCTTCTTTCAGCGTGGGCTCAGTGCTGCTAACAGCGTACGGCATGCAGCTGATGCGAACCTTTGATCTTTTGTCACACGCTCCACATCTTATTCCTTCTACCGTGGCCTTAGTGCTGCTAACAGCAGCAACCTTACTTATTGATCTTCTCTCACACGCTCCATATTTTCTTCTTTCAGCGTGGGCTCAGTGCTGCTAACAGCGTACGGCATGCAGCTGATGCGACCCTACTTATTGATCTTTCCTCTCACACGTTCTATAACGATCTAGGAAAGATCAATAAGTAGGGTCGATATACATAGGTATATCTTCTTCTTTCCAGCGTGGGTTCGGTCCTCCTGACAGCATACGGGGTACAGTTGCTGCGGCGGCGGCGGCGTGGACGTAGGTTGCTTGCGCTGGGCGTGGCGGCGCTTGTGGCTGGCGGCGCGGCGCGCACGTATCTGCGCAACCGCGACTGGCGCACCAGGGAGTCGCTGCTGAGGTAACTTCAGCTTAGTGCAATATACCTTAAGGCTTACGCTACCGGGTACCGGGTATCTGCTACAAAATTTTATTACGAGTGTACTCATTAGGCTTAACACTGAGACGTCATCTTATATGCCTAGGTGTGATACCGCGCTTATAAGATTACCTATGGTAGCGAACCTTACCTTCACTCCTATGTTCCTCTGATTAATTTCGTTGCGGGTCCAATGACAGTTTAACTTTCCCCCGGAACAAACTTAACCTTCACTGGTTGGGTTTTTATTGGCGGTCAAGCTGTAGATCTTGGCTACACAGAAGTTGCACCAGTGGGAACGAGAGGTGGGAATAGTCTGGTATTATGGTAGCGAACTAGCGAATGCGAAAGAAACTACCATTGTGTTGCACTAACGTTGCAGAAAAATAAATATGCCTGATTGTTCACACCCACTTTGGTTACATTTGAAAACAAAAGGAAAACGTTGTGTCTATAAAAGCACCAAAAAAATTTTTTTGCATGTTTCAGAGCGGACTTATCAGTGTTGCCGCACAACGCAAAACTACACTACAACTTCGCGAATTTCCTCAAAGACATCGAACAACAAGAAAGCGCCATTAAACATTACAAGGAAGCTTTAAAGTAAGTAATCCACAAAAATAGAAATTATAGCCTGACCAGGAACATAAAAACCCTGGCATAGAGGNCTAGATATTCTGCTACCTAGCAGCCTTCAACTGGTGGCTACTCCTGTGCCCCTGGACGCTGAGCCACGACTGGCAGATGGGCTCGGTGCCGCTCGTCACCAGCGGCTGGGACCCAAGGAACCTGCTCACCTGCGCCGCGCTCATAGCCTTGGTGGCGCTGTCGTACAGATGCTTCTTGGATTTGGAGGTGAGTAACATATAGCTAGATATTCTGCTACCTAGCAGCCTTCAACTGGTGGCTACTCCTGTGCCCCTGGACGCTGAGCCACGACTGGCAGATGGGCTCGGTGCCGCTCGTCACCAGCGGCTGGGACCCAAGGAACCTGCTCACCTGCGCCGCGCTCATAGCCTTGGTGGCGCTGTCGTACAGATGCTTCTTGGATTTGGAGGTGAGTAACATATAGCTAGATATTCTGCTACCTAGCAGCCTTCAACTGGTGGCTACTCCTGTGCCCCTGGACGCTGAGCCACGACTGGCAGATGGGCTCGGTGCCGCTCGTCACCAGCGGCTGGGACCCAAGGAACCTGCTCACCTGCGCCGCGCTCATAGCCTTGGTGGCCCTGTCCTACAGATGCTTCTTGGATTTGGAGGTGAATAACATATAGCTAAGACATTCTGCTACCTAGCACTATAAAATAATCAATACAATAAGTATGTACTCGTAATTTACTAAAGCCCGGTCTGTGAGCACGTAGAATTTTGCCCAATGACCCCTAGCTACCCATCCTTATCGCTCGCGCGCGCGTAATTATATTGCCGTCGCGACTGTGCGACTGGCACCCGCAGTGAGTGTGCGAGCGCAATAGCAACATAATTACGCGCGAGCGATAAGGATGGGTAGCTTGGGGTCATTGGACAAAATTCTACGTGCTCACAGACCAGACTATAGTAAGTGTAATAGTATCTATGTTCGATAGCTGAAATTATATCTGTAAGATACTATAAGTAAAAATACCTAAGACAAAAACAACAAACACAAGCTTCTTTCTCATAAGATCGCCATGAAAATCTAAGCATTTCTTGGGATATGAGAAAATGGAACATCTTCTAGATATATTAATGGGAAATTTATTTTGATACGTATAGCATAGGGGTGAATTGGATTGATTGGTGAGTCACTGCATACCCACAAATATTGAATTTCATAAAAAAAATACATTTATGGTTGTTCTTGAATTAAATTGTGATCTTCTCTCTCACTCCAGCTGCACCGGCACACGCCAGCCGTGGTGGGGCTGCTGCTGCTCGTCATCCCGTACCTGCCCGCCTCCAACCTCCTCGTCACTGTGGGCTTCGTGGTCGCAGAACGAGTTCTGTACATACCCAGGTTAGCTTTGAGACTTGCTGATGCTTAGTGTCTAAATATTTTCTAACTGATATAAAGACAATTTTCGTTTCAACTAAAAGGTGTTCACTAGTGGACAAAGGCTTCTCAAGGATTTCCACAACTAGCGGTCTTACGCTACCCTCATTCAGGTATTTCCTCTGATCGTTAGTGTACCGGTCTATTCCACTTTCGATCACCTGGCTTTGATCAATTGGACATGAGACTATACAGAGGATGTGTAATTTATTTATAGGTGATCAAAGGAAACTAAAATATTAATTAAACTGGAGTTCACTTTGATCACCCAGGTCATCAAAACCAGGTGATCAAGGTGGAATAGACCAGTCTACCGAGTAGGAGGCCTGTTTACACTGCATTTTTCTGTTCGTGGTCGCTACTCGAGAACTTTTTGCCACAGGTCATAGCTCATAGCTATGTGCCCCGCTCACTGTAACTTTGGCAATTTTGCGGACTATGTCGGTTACTAGTTCTCCAACAGATCTCCTCATTACGGATTTTTAAACTTAAAAATCATAATGAAATAATCGTATGTGATTCTGGCACAATCAATTCGCTCTCACCTCACACGCTCCATATCTTCTTCTTCTAGCGTGGGCTCAGTGTTGCTAACAGCATACGGCGTGCAGCTGATGCGAACCTTCGGTCTTTTGTCACACGCTCCACATCTTATTCCTTCTACCTTGGCCTTAGTGCTGCTAACAGCAGCAACCTTACTTATTGGTCTTTTCTCACACGCTCCATATCTTCTTCTTCTTCTAGCGTGGGCTCAGTGCTGCTAACAGCGTACGGCGTGCAGCTGATGCGAACCTTTGATCTTTTTTCACACGCTCCACATCTTATTCCTTCTACCGTGGCCTTAGTTCTGCTAATAGCAGCAACCTTACTTATTGATCTTCTCTCACACGCTCCATATCTTCTTCTTCTAGCGTGGGCTCAGTGCTGCTAACAGCGTACGGCATGCAGCTGATGCGACCCTACTTATTGATCTTCTCTCACACGCTCCATATCTTCTTCTTCTAGCGTGGGCTCAGTGCTGCTAACAGCGTACGGCATGCAACTGATTGCGACTACTTATTGATCTTTCCTCTCACACGTTATAGAACGTTAATTGCTTACCATTAGGTGATCCGTCTGCTCATTTGCCTCCTATCACATAAAAAAAATGTGTGAGAGGAAAGATAAATAAGTAGGGTCGATCGATATACATAGGTATATCTTCTTCTTTCCAGCGTGGGCTCAGTACTGTTGACGGCATACGGCGTGCAGCTACTTCGGCGGCGACGGCGCGGACGTCGGTTGCTTGCACTGGGCGTGGCGGCGCTGGTAGCAGGAGGCGCGGCGCGCACGCATCTGCGCAACCGCGACTGGCGGACCAGGGAATCGCTGCTGAGGTAACTTCAGCTTAGTGCAATATACCTTATGGCTTACGCTACCGGGTACCGGGTATCTGCTACAAAATTTTATTACGAGTGTACTCATTAGGCTTAACACTGAGACGTCATCTTATATGCCTAGGTGTGATACCGCGCTTATAAGATTACCTATGGTAGCGAACCTTACCTTCACTCCTATGTTCCTCTGATTAATTTCGTTGCGGGTCCAATGACAGTTTAACTTTCCCCCGGAACAAACTTAACCTTCACTGGTTGGGTTTTTATTGGCGGTCAAGCTGTAGATCTTGGCTACACAGAAGTTGCACCAGTGGGAACGAGAGGTGGGAATAGTCTGGTATTATGGTAGCGAACTAGCGAATGCGAAAGAAACTACCATTGTGTTGCACTAACGTTGCAGAAAAATAAATATGCCTGATTGTTCACACCCACTTTGGTTACATTTGAAAACAAAAGGAAAACGTTGTGTCTATAAAAGCACCAAAAAAATTTTTTTGCATGTTTCAGAGCGGACTTATCAGTGTTGCCGCACAACGCAAAACTACACTACAACTTCGCGAATTTCCTCAAAGACATCGAACAACAAGAAAGCGCCATTAAACATTACAAGGAAGCTTTAAAGTAAGTAATCCACAAAAATAGAAAGTATAGCCTGACCAGGAACATAAAAACCCTGGCATAGAGGCGCTTCAATTGCATTTGATAGTGCAACACTGAGTACAGTCGTACCTGTGTTAAATTAATAGGCTAACTTTATGTTTCAGGATTCAGGATTACGGGCTAATTTGATATTTTCATAAATTAACGAAAAAATATTATTATAGGTAACCTGGTTTAAATAAATTAAATGAAACCATCAATCGAACTAGTAGGATTTATTTTATTATTCATCAATAATCAAATTCAGAACTTGAATATTCAACTGCAATGTCTGCTCATGAACGCTTCAAACTCGGTACTTCTTTCCCAATTCCATAAAATTCAACTTTTAGAAAGTGACAAAAAACTTTAAAATAGGTAGTTGAAACAAACCACAGCTAATTTTCATAGTGGACTGTACTATACGATAAACATGTCAGTCAATTTGACAACCTTTATTGGAAACATTTTCAATGAAAATATTGTCCGAACCCTTGGTATTTCTCTTCGACAAATACTTTAACACATTGTCAACCACTTTTCTTTCACGACTATAAAAATATTTTAGCAATTTCATTCACAAAATCAATTGCGCACATTTAAAATAAAGTTTGTTTACACTTTGACAGCAATAGACTGACATGCAAGGTGACATGTCAATGAAGTTTTTAGTTACTGTTGCCATTAAAAGAAATTAGTACCATTAGTTTTCCGCAACATGGCGAGGGTTTTTATGTTCCTGGTCAGGCTATACCTGCCATTATAAGTTGAATGAGCCAGGTACACTAATTTTCTTTAAACAATAGAATAGGTAAACCCCAAGATCCGGTGAAGTCTTTAATAGTTTCGCAGCGGATTGTCCAAATACTGAAAAAGCTACTTTGTATAGTAAATCATTGACCCCATGAGCACTTACCTTAGGTATGTTGTTAAGTAGCGTTATTCTGCGTCATGTTTCCGCAGCAATACCTACCTGATTTTTTTCAAAACAGTTATAATTATTTGAAATCATTCTAATGGGTGATCCTACTGCAAAGGATTGAAGTGGCTTATCAGAGAAGATGTGGATGACATAATATATTTATCTTAACCCGTGTAGAGTAGCGGGGTAGCGGGGAGGCACTGGACGCAGGCGGCTACCAACCGGGCAGCATGGAACGCATTGGGGAGGACTATGTTCAGCAGTGGACGTCTTATGGCTGAGATGATGATGATGATGACGTAGAGTAGAATAGGACCACTCCTACTTTTTATGTGAATACTAGCTGACCCGGCGAACTTTGTTCCGCCTTAACCCACTTGTTACTAGCGTTTGATATACGGATCAACATAAAAATTAAATTATTATAAACAATGAGGGTGGTTTCTGATAACATTGTTTATGTTAAACGATTCCTGTGGGGTCCCTTTGTCCATCAGAAGTGTTCTGTTCTACATTAGGTGTCACATTTCAATAGTAAGCGTTTTGTTGTTTTCGTAAATTTTACGATGACTTTTTCAAGGTGAATAAAAACATGATAAGTATTTATTCTAAAGTATTTCTTGCCGAAATATGAAAGTTTGTAGCCCACTTTTTGTAAATCGATAACAAAATTATAAACATTTTTATAGTAACTGTTACTAATTCAACGTTAAACTTAGTGATCCGTATAAGGAACGCTAGTAATATGAACTGCGGTATTTTGTTGTTTTAGCGCCTGCCTTCGAGGCCCTTGCCTTTAAATGAAATCATTGAAAAATTGGAGAAAAATGAAGATGAGTGTATCCCTAACTAAATCACAATTTTCCCGCCGGAAAATCCGGTAAATTGTAATGGTGACTTAACCAAAGAGAACTCTGGTGATGAAAATAAAGTGTCAATAGATTTGTCTGGATTACAAATGAGGGCCCATGCATGTAGAAATCACTACAGAATTCTTCATCCAGTGATGATGAAGAAGACTGCATCCTGTTAGCGTAGATAGCCAATTATGCCCTAGACAGGGTCAGTCATGTTTGAAGATATGAAGAAATTATTGTTTGTAAATGAGATGATTTAGTGTGGTTACAGTTGCTTCAAATGCATTGAAAATTGCGCCAACTGACAAAACCAAGAGATTTTCTCCGCCACATAAACAGAGAAGAAGTATTTTAACATCTCAAATTCAGTTGCAACACACAGGTTTTATGAAACTCATGCTTTAATACAAATGCAATGTTTTTGCAAGAAATGTATTAATATTACCTTTGATCCCAGAAAATGTTTTGGGCATAATATACAGTTCACACCACTGGAATTAAATTTGAAAAATAATAAATTCAACTCTGAATGTTTTTTTATGAATGAATATTCCATATTTTATGCAAATACTTTAATAACTTACGCAAGTCGCAAAGAGTACCTAGGTATTATCTCTAAGTTCATACAAGTGGCCGTACATATTACTAGCGTTCCGTATATCAAACACCATTTTCCAGCGTTTCCGTAAGACCAATATTTTTTTTTTAATTTTTCCTGTTGCCTTGATGCATTAAATAGCCGATATATGCAAAATCACAGGAATCGTAAGAAAAAAGGGATATCCGTAACAACTGGGTTAATGGCTATAAATAAGCAGACTTCTTTTTTAATTTCGAACGGGATAAAAAGTATCCTATGTCCTTCTCCTGGCTCTAAACTACCTCCCTGACAATTTTCAGCTAAATCGGTTCAGCCGTTCTTGAGTTATAAGTGGAGTAACTAACACGACTTTCTTTTATAATATAGACTAGCTGACCCGGCGAACTTTGTTCCGCCTTAATGGCAATAAATAAGCAGACTTTTTTTTTTGTTTCGAACGGGATAAAAAGTATCCTATGTCCTTCTCCTGGCTCTAAACTACCTCCCTGACAATTTTCAGCTAAATCAGTTCAGCCGTTCTTGAGTTATAAGCGAAGTAACTAACACGACTTTCTTTTATATATATAGATAGATCGTAAAAGGTGACTACAGGGCAAATATGCAAACTTGGTCTCTTCGTCGGCAACTTGGCGAATTCTAAATCCTCAACAGGTCTTTGATAAATTGGACAGAGTCGTACTCCTGCAGTAGAGACTTCAAAGGTTGACGATGATGATAAAGTTTTATCGAAAACTGATGACCCGTTTTCGTCTGATTGTGATCAAGCAGCTGGTTGTGCTCCTAAAATGGAAAGTAATAATGACAATGATGATGAAATTATATCTGTTTATTATAATTTCTTTAAATATCCACCACAATTCTATCTGTGGACCTATAAGTGGTTATCAAGTGTTATAATTGTAAAATAATCAATTATGTAAACCCTGGTCTTCCTAATATAAATAAATAAATAAATTTTATAAAAAATGGGTCATATTCTGTGAGGCTTATGGTTGTCTGATGTCCACCAGGCTGTGGCCGAGCTACGCGAGCGCGCACAACAACCTGGGCACGCTGGTGGCGTGGGCGCGCGCCGAGCACCACTTCCTGCAGGCGCTCAAGTACAACCGCGACCACGTCAACGCGCACTACAACCTCGCCAAGCTCTACAGGTAACGTTACTTGCTCCACGACCCATAGTGTATTATACACTAAGAGTAGGCACACACCGTTGATTTTTCGTCGGCCGATAGTTTGGTCGGGCAGTTGATCAGTATGGGCCATGTATGGGAGTGCGCACACTACTCCGATTCGATTTGGCCGATTCTTCATACAAATTAAAATCGGGCACAACTATCGGCCAACTAAAAATCAACGGTGTGCGCCTACTCTAAGAGCTAGTGAACGCCAGACCTACGTCATTTTATAAAAGCTGAAAGTTTGTCAGCGTATGCTCCCAATATAGGATAGAATGCTGGTGAATCATGAAGTTACGGTCATCGTGACTTTGGCAGCTATCCTAAAAAAACTGTCTGACAAGGAGTTGGAACTGTCAAAACTATCTGACTGATGTGGGAACAATTTCTAATCATTGCCCACATATTATGCATAAAAATCAGATTTTTTGGTATAACGTAGGAAGAATTACAGTCTACTGAATATACAGAAAAAACCACCGTAAAAGTAAGGCTTACGTTATACCATAAAAGCTGATTTTTATATAAAATATACATTAATTTACAGACAGTTTTTACCAGACAGTTTTTTAGGATAGCTGCCAAAGCCACGATGACCCAAACTTCATTATTCACCAACATTCTAACCTATATTGGGAGCATACGCTGACAAACTTTCAGCTTTTACAAAATGACGTAGGTCTGGCGTTCACTTCTCTTAGTCTAATAGCCTTTGGAGAGATATTGCCACTTGCCACGGTCTTGTGCGGTTTCACGCCAATCACCTGCTTCAAGCTCGCGAAAATCCGCGTCCTCCGCATCACCCTTAGCGACATTGGAATGAACCACCCGTCTACAGGTAAATCTCTTTGAGTAGCAAATGCTTTCACAATCTTCAGACATACGACCGACTGTAGATAGTGATTTAGGATTGAGCACTCGTTATACACGAGTGTAAGCAGTAAGCAAATGGGTATAGCATCAATGCATATTGCATACCGAATATCGCTTCTTCTTTTCATCTCGCCAGGATTCACGAAACGACGTAATGATCTGTACCTATGGTGCTCTGTTGTGCTCGTAAAGATGCCAGGAATACATAGTCCAAGACTCCGGTAGTACAGAGGGAACATTTTTCGAAAGTGTATATTATAGTGAAACAAATTCGAAACATCTTTGGTCACAATAAAAACAAGGAAGAAAACAAATTCCCTATAACGTCAAATAACAATAACACTAGTCACATTAAATAAAATACATTACTCACTCATCAAATAATTATGTTTCCACAAAGAACGTTGTCAAATAACACAAGGGCAAGATGTGCCCTACAAACACAAGGTGTGACGTCCATAGCGGTCATTACTACGGTGCACCGCGCGTTATCATGCATTCATCTCCACTAGCTTAATGCAATGTTTGCCTTTGGCTTACTTTGATTTACGGAGGCTTAAAATATTTATCACTGTCAAAGTAAACCAACAAAATCTGCTATGATTGTATGTAGTTTATTTAACAAAGATATATGGGTTGGGTTTATTTTTAAACTTTAGAGGTGGTATTTAAGATAAGTTAACAACATACAATGATATTTCACGGTTATCACCAACTCATTCTATTTCATTTATGATACAGGTTTGAGTTTTTATTTACGTAACTGGTTAGATAATTTTAATGTTTGTTTATTATACAATCGTTGTGTACCTTTGAGTCGAACAGACTTATGCATCTAAGTATTATGCATCGATTATTATCTCATGGAGACAGGGGGAAACCAGCGAAACGAATAAAAAGTCAATAAAATATTGGATTTGGACATTCGTCCCTAGCTCCGTCTCAGGCTTTGGCTCGCTCTCAAATGAGCATCTCTTACTTCGAGGGGATTCCAATCGGTCTATTCTACTTTGATCACCTGGCTTTGATCACTAGTGACCAAAGTGGAATAGACCTTCCAATGCTATTATAAAAAACTGGAGGAGAGGCCTTCAGTTTTTTGTAGAGGTAAAAAGTCTTCCACCTAGTACAGCAATAACCTGTTGATGTTTGATGGAAGCCTGCCTGGATTTGGGCAGCCCAGTTATTTTAGATATTCTTGGGGGAGCAGTAGACTTCTTTATGTTGTAAAGCAGTGGTTCTTAACCGGTGGTCCGCGGACCACTGGTGGTCCCTGGAGGCATTCCAAGTGGTCTACGAAGACATCGTAATAAACAAGTGACGTGACGTGATGAGTCGAGCCAACACAACGCAAACGGCGCACAGTGGGCGAGAAATCGACCTCCCTTTTCATAGGATTTTGAAAAAAAAAGTGGTCCTTGACAAGACAGAAATTTGGTAAAATGGTCCCTCGGGACTTAAAGGTTAAGAACCACTGTTGTAAAGAGAGGGCCTGATTTAATCCTGTATTTGGTATTAAACAGTGACATTTGGTGGCGAACAAAATGTTGAAAGATGTAACTTGCCTTTTTTGCAGAAAAAAGAACCGCCTCAGCGAAGCCCTCAAGATGCTGGAGCGCTGCATTTCGCTGGAGCCGCGCTTCGTGCAAGCGCACTTAGAGCTTCTACTGCTGACGCCGGACGCGCGCCGCCGCGCCGTGCTCGACACGCTGCTGGCGCTCGAGCCGCGAAACCCGGAACACCACGTGTTGTATGGGCACTGGCTGCGCGGCAGAGGTGAGAGACCGCAGCGAGGCTCATCTAAAGCCTGGTCCGTGAGCACGTAGAATCCCGTCCAATGACCCCAAGCTACCCATCCCTATCGCTCGCGCGTAATTGTANAAACACAAGGTATGACGTCCATAGCGGTCATTACTACGGTGCACCGCGCGTTATCATGCATTCATCTCCACTAGCTTAATGCAATGTTTGCCTTTGACTTACTTTGATTTACGGAGGCTTAAAATATTTATCAATATCAAACTAAACTAACAAATCTGCTATGATTGTATGTACTTTATTTAACAAAGATATACGAGTTTATTTTAAACTTTAGAGGTGGTAGGATTTAAGATAAGTTATTAACATACAAATGATATTTCACGGTTATCACCAAGTCATTCTATTTCCCACTTATGATACAGGTTTGAGTTTTTATTTACGTAACTGGTTAGATAATTTTAATGTTTGTTTATTACACAATCGTGCACCTTCAGTGGAACAGACTAATGCACCTAAGTACATACTTCGATAATAATTCTCATAGAGACGGGGCGAAATGAAACAAGAGTCAACAAAATTATTGGACTTGGACATTCTTACCTATGTAGCTCCGTCTCAGGCTTTGGCTTGCTCTCAAACGAGCCTCTTCGACTTCGAAGGGACACTCAATCCCCTTATCCAGTTATTTTTATAGAGGTAACCCTTACCCTTCCATTCAGTGGAGCCAGTGGCGTAGCTTGGGGGGAGCAGGGGGGGCCTTGGCCCCGGGCGGCATATGAAAGGGGGCGGCGGATAAGAAAAAAAACATTGCATGAACAAGAAAAAAAAGTTATTCCAAATCGCGTCGTAATATGTTACGTACCTACCGATTAAGCGAAACGAAACGCACAAGTGTGCGCAAGAGAGGACGATAATCGCTTGGTCGGCGCGCGACTGGCTCGCTCGGCCGACGCGCGGCTGGCTCTATCGGTCGGCCGCGGCCGGTGGCTAGTCTATACAGGGTGGAAACGTTAAGTGATCTCACTCGATTATTTCTAAACTATAGAAGATATCGAAAAACTGATTACTGATTCTAAAAGTGCTTCACAAGCTCTTACAAATGGTACCAAAAATAGGTTACATAATAAACTGGATCTATCCAAAAAGTCAATGTTTCCGGCTTCCATACATTTAGTAAAAGTATATAATATTAAAAAGTATACAAGATATTAAAATACTGGTTACTGATCCTGATAGTGCTTCACGAGTTCTATCTAACGATACCAATAACAGGTTACAAAATTTACTGGATCCATCCTAAATTCAATGTTTCCAGCTTCTACAGCCACAGTCATGGCACTCATGTCTTGATAATATTATAGCAAGTAAAACCAATGTTTCAATCCATCAGTTTCCATCAGGTCAGATGAAGGGCAAGAGCTTCCTCGTTGTGGATAAAAAAATGTTCTTTTCAGTTATTGTCTCTAAATGTGTTCTACATAATGTAAACTTAGGGGATTGCATACATTAGTTAGTCCTAAGAAAGTCAAAAACATGTAACGGAATCTCCGACTTACCACTTTAGTGGAGCGATTACAGAAAAAAATGGCCTATTAAGTACATGTTTTTTGTATTATTATGAAAGTTTAGAAAACTGCGCAGTTTTTAAAACTTTTTGGACCTATGAAAGTTCTTTTTTTTTTTCAAACTTTTAAGTTGAAAATTTTAGAATGTTCTGCTAAAAGCATATTCTTTATGTTTCTAGCAAAAATTTTGTATCTTGCATCAAAGATAGGAAGGTGATTATTTTTTTCAAACATCTGTNTAATTGTATTGCTGTCGCGACTGTGCGACGGGCACCCGCAGTGAGTGTGCGAGCGCGACAGCAACATAATTACGCGCGAGTGATAAGGATGGGTAGCTTGGGGTCATTGGACAAAATTCTACTTGCTTACGGACCAGGCTTTACCCGTGAAGCATGTAATGTATCAAGTGAGTACATAGGCATGAGCCCGCTGCCGCTCGCGCGTGGTTCGCAGTTCGTGACACGCTGCTGGCGCCCAAGCCGTGCAAGCCCAAGCACCATGTCCTGTACGGGCACTGGCTGCGCGGCAAAGGTGAGACAGCAGATGCAGTCGCAGCAAGGCTAGAGAGATGACTATTATAAAATAATTTAAAAAAAGCACGCCACGTCGTGTCAGCAAACGTAGAGTTGGCAACCGCGGCAACGCTCAGCAACTACCTACCTGCTCGATGGACCGGCGACCTCGAGAAACAGCAGCGGCTGAATGTCAAAAGCGAGAGATAGTGCTTTGTTACGTCCAGCTGTAGACTGTCATAGACTGAACCCAATGTTAAAATTCCTTTAACATCGTCTTGGGTTTACTCATCATCAGCCTCGACTGCCAGATTATCAGTCTGCGGCTGAATTTAGGTCTCCGGATAGAATGCCACAGCAATAAAACCGCCTCTGTGGTCTAGTGGTAAGACCACCTGCTTCAGACGCAGAGGTCCCGGGTTCGATTCCCAGTGGGGGCAGATTTTTCTGTTCGGTTTGGTTGGTGGTAGAGCTTGTTCTAAGTCCGCCTGGCTAGCTACCACCATCTTACCTAAGTCTGTCGCCTTAACAACAATGTTAACAGCATTGTTGTGTTCCGTCAGTTGAGGTAAGATAGCCAGTTCCTCCAGGCTGTTTACATCCAGTGGGTTCCCACCACCTTGGAAGTTCATCGTCATAGTCCATCTGAGTGATCTCCCTAAACTGCGTCTCCCATTCCCCAAAACCTTTACTCTTGTTGAGCAAATACAAAGTTCCTGGTATTCCTTGCAGGGTTGCTACCTCAGTCCATGAGCTACTACACGACAGCCATGAGGCTATCATTCGGCAGCTCGTGCGCGAACTGCGAGCGCGGCAAGCTGCAGGCCGTGCGAGCCGCGTGCCTACTCCTGCGTAGCGCCGGGCAGAGAGCGAGGATATTGCAGTTAGTTACTAGGTAAGTGACATCAGTAGTCATAATTATTGTAACTGTATTCTTATCTTGGTCTTGGATCCTTGACTTGGTCCCTGACAGGTTATTGGTAAACCACCACGCTAACAGAGTAATCTTTTCGCACGTCTGCTCCCGCCAAAAAGTACGTGAGGGGAAAAACGTAGAAAGGCCTGGTAAAAACCGGGCTTGATTACGCCGCACTCTGAGGTATTTTAACCTGGACAAAGGACGCCAATACCTCAACAAACTGTTGCTGTGTTTGTTTGTTATGGAACTCGTCGTTTAACTTATTAAATATACAACTTGAAAAAATCGAACTGCCTAAGGCGGGAATCGAACCCAAGACCTTTCGCTTGCCGGGCGACTGCTCATCCATCTGCAGCTACTGAGACCCTGAATGAACCCGTAGAAATTTTCAAGTGTAATTCGCTGCTGCGGCCGCGTTTTATTTCGTCGTTTAACACCATGAATATCGGTCTATTCCATTTTCATTACCTGGCTTTGATCACTCAGATGATCAGAGTGGACTTCAACCGACAATTTGGTGTCCTTTGATCACCATGGATAAGATGACCTGGGTGATCAAAGTGGACTCCAGTTTAATTAATATTTCAGTTTCCTTTGATCACCTATAAATTACACCTTATCTGAATTCCAATCCAATGGACAACACGCATAAGTTGTAATATTAAGTTAAATTATGACTTAATTTAAAGTTTAGATCACACACATTACACTAGTTTTTATTTCACCTCAATCCATCCAGTATTACCGAAGATAGAGCCTCGAGAAGTTTACGGACATTTTAAAATTTTCAAAAATTTCCAATATTCGCGCGTGACGTCACAACATGATTTTGCAGCCCCTGCACGTTAACCCATTTACCACTTTTTGTCTTTTTCCAACTAAAATAAATTTTTACCTAACTGACAACTGTTGTTCTTTGTTAGTTGTCATCGTTCAATCACATTTCAAACTAGGCGCTAAAAAGTAACCATTATTATGCCACCTATTGCCAATTGTGTGCACTATGAAGCCATTTTTATATTTATGCACTTAAATATAAATTTTCTAAAAAAAATAACCAAGTTTGTGTCTCTGTGCTCAATAACGAGTAAATAGTCAAGTTATTTGTTAATTTTACTTGGAAAGTTTTCCGGAATTTTTGAAAATTGGTGAATAAATAGATTTCGCTATGTTCTTTCCGAATTTTGTGACCTCGTTTAATGTACCTGCTAAATTGCGAGTACTTTTTTCTTTGATCATGTCAGGACACGCTGCCGGGTGTCCTAAATATGCTGAAGTATAAAAAAATTCGCGTTGCTGAAGTATACATTTTTTTGTCTTGTTTGTTTCTACATTACATAATTGTATCCTACTAATATTATAAATGCGAAAGTTTGGATGTCTGGAAGTTTAAAATAAAGTAATGTTTATTTCTCACCAACATAACAGATAATATTATGATAACAAACAATCAGAAAAAATAAAAAGTAAAAATGTTGGTGGTTGATACCTGAACTAGGAAGATTCCTGTGTCTCAGGTTTGTTACTCTTTCACGCAAAAAGTACTCAACGGATTTTGTTGAAACTGCACAATATTATTGTTTGTAACCCAGATTAACATATAGGCTATAATAAATTATTTATGCCGATCTGTGACACTAAATTTCACGCTGGTGAAGTCAAAGGCAAAAGCTAGTCGTGAAATAAATAGGAAAGTTTAAGGATCTGAAACGTGGTCGCTTACTATGGGCCTTATAAGAAGGCAAGGTCACCCAAAGGGTGATGGTGCAGGCTATGCTCGGGGTTTCCCTGCGTGATCGAATCAGAAATGAGGAGATCCGCAGGAGAACCAAAGTGACCGACATAGCACGCAGAATTGCTAAAATCAAGTGGCAGTGGGCGGGACACATACTAATAGCTTGTAGAGACGAGACGACGTAGAGATGGCCATTGGGGCAGAAAATTTCTTGAGTGGCGACCACGGCACGGGCTGGAAGACGTAACGTGGGCAGGCCTCCTACTAGGTGGACCGACGATCTGGTAATGGTCGCGAGAAGTACCTGAATGCGGGCAGCGCAGGACTTTTCACTATGAAAAACCCATGGAAAACCCAAAGGCCTCTCGCCTTTGTCCAGCAGTGGACGTCATTTGGCTGTAACGACAAAATAGGAAAGAATGGAACTATCAAAAATCTTCTCTAAGGCAGCATTTTTCCAATTTCGCAACGAGCGCGGCAATCATACTTAACTAACAGACTAACAGAGAGTATAGCGAAATCTATTTTAATCACCAATTTTCAAAACTCCCGGAACACTTTCCAGGTAGCCACGTTAATTTGTACCAAACGACTGGACTATAATTTAATTGATATAAAAATTTAGGTAGATCTTCTCAAAAACAAAAGAACTGGTGCTAAAAGGGTTAAGTGACGTTTAGACATTTGTAGAGGGCCTTGTAGAAGGGGAGGCTATAGTGCTGAATGTGGATTAACTCGAGTGTCATAGTAACTTATTAGGCTGCTACGCTTGATGATAAAACGAAAAATATTTTATTCAATGTACATAGTCTGGTCATATTAAGTTCTTTCATATGATATAATAACTTTTGAATTTTGAATGAAGGTTTCAAAAACATTTTTTACTGAATTAGAATAAAAAAGAAAAAATGTGCGATAGTTCGAATTTTATTGTATATGTAGTGGACGCATAAAGAAGTCCGAACTGCAGTTGTCACGTTGCATTGGTGCGGCTACGCGCCAAAGCAGATTTTCGTTGTGCTGAAAAAAATTCGTTTATCTTTTCATTTAATTATAGGTATAGGTGTACCAGAATCTCATGGAAAACAAAAAGTGTGTCTTTCATATGGCAAATGTCTATGGCTTTATTGTCACCTGTCAAAGTAAATCAAGTGAACTGTCAGTCGCTGCAGAAATTTTGTAATCTCTTCATGCATATTTGTTATTTTTGTGAAAAAGTCAAAAAAGCTCAAGCAAGTCATATTGTTTTCAATGTGTATTGTAAAATAAGGCATAATTCAAAGTCAATCTTTGATTTTAAAGCGCGTCAAAATCAAAAATCAAAATCAAAAAATNTACCCATCCCTATCACTCGCGCGTGATTGTGTTGCTGTCGCGACTGTGCGACGGGCACCCGCAGTGAGTGTGCAAGCGCGACAGCAACATAATAACGCGCGAGCGATAGGGATGGGTAGCTTGGGGTCATTGGACGGGATTCTACGTGCTCACGGACCAGGCTTTACCCGTGTAGCATGTAATGTATCAAATCAAGTGAGTACATAGGCATGAGCACGCTGCGAGTTGCTCGCGCATGGTCCGCAGGGAGATCGCAGCGACTCGGTATCACTGCGAGCACAAGGGCGGCTCGCAGTAGGATTCAGGAGCTCGCAGCCAGATACGCGATGACCGTGGACGAGCCGTACTCACTTGAAGGTTGGACACGTTACATGCTACGTTACGCTACATAGCAGGTGAGTACCCTGCCCTAGAGCGCTGCTGCTGACGATGGACGCGCGACTCCACACGCTGCTGGCGCTCGAGTCACGCAACTCCGAGCACCATGTGTTGTACGGGCACTGGCTGCGCGGCAGAGGTGAGCTTCTTCTTGTCGTGTCGACAACCCACACAGTGTCAGCCCAAAACTCTGCTACAAGAGGGACGTTGTCAGTAGCATTGATGAAATCTTCCTGCGTGCAGTTGTTTGGGGACGCAGTGTGAACTGAGGTGAGCTAAACCACAGAGAGAAACGACTACCCCAATGTAGTAAAGAACTTAGCTCAAAAATGTTGCAAGCTGTTGGTAAAAATGGGACAAACTTTCCTTCCTACCTTCACTGGTTGGGGTTTTGTTGGCAGTCAAGCTGTAGATCCTGGCTACACAGGAGATGCAGCGGTGGGAACTGCTGAAGAGTTGTTGTTGTTGTTTTGAATTGTGGGAAGAGCTGTTGGTAAACAGGTAGAGTAAACAAGTTCTCGAATGATCACGAGTCAGCAAACGTAGCGTATAATGCTCACTTGCTCAATGGACTGGATCCGCGGAAACTTCAAGAAGATGGCTGGATAATAAAGCGACAAATCGTACTTTGTTACCTCCAGAAGTAGACAGCTATAGGTATACTGCATTAATGGTGACCATCAAATGACAATACTATACCTAGATACTTCTACTATCAAAATGGATGTTAACGAAATGACTTCTAGCAATTTGGACAAGGTTATTGGTCCATCGGCTAAAAAGTTTACCTATGCTACGCTAATAATCCTTTCAGCTTTCAGCAGCAGCTTTCATCTAATTGAGCAAATATGATATGAAGTTCGTCTTACCCATCCTGCTTTCATCTAGTTGAGCAAATACAAAGTTCCTGGTATTCCCTGCAGGGTTGCTGCCTCAGTCCATGAGCTCCTACACGAAAGCCATGAGGCTATCGTTCGGCAGCTCGTGCGCGAACTGCGAGCGCGGCAAGCTGCAGGCCGTGCGAGCCGCGAGCCTACTCCTACGCAGCGCCGGGCAGAGAGCGAGGATATTGCAGTTAGTTACTAGGTTAGTAACTTACAGAAGTCACGAACATATTCCTTTTCAACCGACTTCAAAAAAAGGAGGAGGTTCTCAATTCGACCCGTATGTTTTTTTTCTATGTTTGTTACGCGATAACTCCGCCAATTATGAACCGATTAGAACAAATCTTTTTTCGGCGTATAGGTAATACCTCAAGGGTGGTCCCATTTAAATTTAATAATAAAAAAAACAACCCCCAAGGGTGGAAAATTGGGGATGAACTTTTTTATACGCAATATCTCCGCCGATTATAAACCAATTTGAACGATTATTTTTTTGTTGAATAGGTATTATCAAAAGGGTGGTTTCATGCGAATTTGAAGAAAATATTTCACCCCCAAGGGTGGAAAATTGGGGATGAACTTTTTTATACGCAACATCTCCGCCGATTATGAACCAATTTGAACGATTATTTTTTTGTTGAATAGGTATTATTTGTGTTCACGCATTTGAAGTCGGTTTTTTTTTTTAAGTTATAATTATTCTATTTTGTGATGGACACTTCACATTGCCACCCCAAAGGTCGTTATTTACTTTGAAATTGCACCATGTACAATGACTTTAGAGTCAGATCCTGACACTAGCTAGTGGCCAAGATAGTGGTGCCAACTGGTGAGGACTGCAGCAATAGGAGGACATTCATCTCATTTCATTTTCATCATGATTTGCTCGCTACTGTAGAGTAACGTTCTGTCATTTGCCAGTGCAGTACCGAGTTACCAACTGTTAAGTATAAAAAAGATAGTCCTCATTAGCAGAGTTATCAATCATTAAGTATTTCATAAGACTAAAAATTTGTATGGTTGTAAAGGAAATTAATCCATTTCTTTTTCACTTTTTAACGCACTAACTTAAACCACACCACACCATGTAGCATTCACTGTGAGATGTCAAAGAGCACAGGATGCCATGCATTCAACAAACTGCTACTGTGTCTGAAAGCCTATGTTTACACACTGCATTGGCCTGCAGATGTTGTGAAATCATTCGCGAATATTGGAAATTTTAAAAAGTCCGTAAACTTCTCGAACTTCTATCTTCGGTAATACTGGATGGATTGAGGTGAAATAAAAACTAGTGTAATGTATGTGGTCTAAACTTTAAATTAAGTCATAATTTAACTTAATATTGCAACCTATGAGTGTTGTCCATTACGTTCATCTGAACACGCGACCATTCGGAAGGACCTTGTTTTCTGTGGCCAACGCACCCGTTCACCGTCCTGAAATTGCGGTAGCAGCCAAAAAAAAATTGCATTTCAAAATGCTCAAAAACCCATCATATTCTCTAGATCTGACTCTTAGCTACGTTAAAATAGCTCTTTTTCCGATTCCGATTTAAAAAGTAATTCAGAGATCTATTAGTGCCATTCACCACCCCGGTGGCAAGCCCGAAGGACTATCCCCTGGTAATAAAAGTAACTAAACCAGGCTACTTCACGCCGCAATGAGGGTTTTCGCGAATGAAAAATCCGCCAGATGGCAATACGTAGACGCGAGGTCCAAATGCTGTATTATTGGTTATTTTTGACATGACATTGACAGATATGTCAAAATCCACCAATCACGCAGCAGTCAGACCCCACATCCACGTCCCGCCATCTAGCGGATCTTTCATTCGCGAAAACCCTCATTACTCTGAAGTCCTGGACACAAGACGCCATGTATTCAACAGACTGCTGCTCTGTTTTGAAACCTGAGCGAGTCCATTCTTCTTGATGGCCTGCAGATGGCAGGTGGTGCGCGGCGGCGGGCAGGGCGCGGCGCGGCGCGCGCTGGCGGAGCGCGCGTGGCGCCTGCGTCGCGACCTGGCGCACCGCGCCGCGCTCTACGCGCGTCCCACGCAGCAGGGCCGGCCGGTGAGTACCCACACGCTACCCTTAGGCCCTTTTCACACGTCCCGGTTGCCGGCTAACCGGCGCCGGGTACCCGATGGTGAAGTGTATGGGCATGCCGGATTAATGAGGGCTATCGTTTTCAACCGACTTCAAAAAAGGAGAAGGTTCTCAATTCGACCCGTATGTTTTTTTTTCTATGTTTGTTACGCGATAACTCCGCCAATTATGAACCGATTTGAACAAATCATTTTTAGGCGTATAGGTAATACCTCAAGGGTGGTCCCATTTAAATTTAATAATAGAAAAAACAACCCCCAAGGGTGGAAAATTGGGGATGAACTTTTTTTATACGCAATATCTCCGCCGATTATAAATCAATTTGAACGATTACTTTTTTGTTGAATAGGTTTTATCAAAAGGGTGGTTTCATGCGAATTTGAAGAAAATATTTCATCCCCAAGGGTGGAAAATTGGGGATGAACTTTTTTTGTACGCAATATTTTTAATTTTTAGTTTTTTTTGTGTTCACGCATTTGAAGTCGGTTTTATTTTTTTTAAAAGTTATCACATGTCCCGGTTGTCGGCTAACCGGCGTCGGGTACCCGGTGGTGAAGTGTATGGGCATGCCGGATTAATGAGGGCTTTCATTTTTATACTTAACAGTTGGCACCCCTGGCGATTGACAGGACCTTACTCTACAGTGGCGCCATCTTGATGAGTGCAAATGCGATAGTCCTCCTACCACTTTAGCGCTCACAAGTTGGCGCCACTGTAGAGTAAGGTCCTATCAATCGCCTTCGCTACTAGCAAGTGACAGGACCTTACTCTACAGTGGCGCTAACTGGTGAGCGGTAAAACGATAGCCCTCATTACGCCGGTACATGTGAAAGCTACGTACCATGCCCATACACTTCACCACCGGGTACCCGGCGCCGGTTAGCCGGCAACCGGGACATGTGAAAAGGGCCTTAGACTGCCTACCCTCGCGCTAGCATTTACATTTTGCCTTTAGGTGCATTAGGACTAATTCTCACTATGGCAACCGACTCGCTAATGGACTACTTCTCATTATGGCAACTTCAAATTTTTTGGCTACTTCTGATTAGGGCAACTTCTCACTTGGGCTACTTCTCATTAGAGCTACTTCTTATTAGGACTACTTATCATTAGTAGGGCTACTTCTCATTAAAACCACTTCTTATTTAGCCCTAATGCGCCTAAGGCAAGGACATTAATTTTACATCAACAGGATTATGCATGTATGTTCTTTTTTTATTTATCTAGCCTTGACATTAACAAAAGATCCTGCCGTACTTTTCGTTTTCAAAAATTTACCTGATACTTTACAGAGCTAGCTAGCTACAGATTTTCGAAATCTTGTGACGTCACTTTAACTCGTAAAAGGATCGTGCTTTGTCCCGTACTTGATGTCATTGTATGAGAATAAGTTAAATCCTGTTATTAAAATGTTTTACAATATGGTCATAAAACTGATACCATACAAACGTATGAGCTGTCGAAACACCATTTTGTATGAGAAAAAGAAAACTCTGAAGTCACTGTTTTTATTTCATGGAAAATTTTAAAACTAAATGGCTATTCAAAACTTGAATACTGCAAGCTACCCAACAACATACATTTTGTTATAGCAGTAACTGCAGTAATAACCTATGACATCACTTATTTAACTAAGCAATTACCGATTTCAAAACAACTGAATTCTAATTTTACAGTTAACTGAAAACTAATTGAACTTTCAAGGCTTAAATGAAGCTTTTTTTGGTAAATGAAGTCTTGACATCATTGGCTAAAGGTGATGTTAATCCCAAAAAGAAGACGAAGAATAATTGAGTTACTGGCAGCGAGATGTTTTTTGTTATGAAGATTTTCTGTTCTCCTTTTTAGAGCTAAGTGCTTTCATTCAACGCTTCAGATTATAAGAGTAGAATAAGTTTGCAATCCACTGATTAAATAGCTGAAGAATTCTTCCAACAGGTGACATCAACATGTCTCCACCACAGCCAACTAGAAGTATCTCCAGAGAGGTACATCAACAACGTGGAACAAAACGAACTCTTAGCAGAGAGAACTTTATACACTCACAGTGACAGTGTAACCAGTGATATAGACAAAAACATAGACAATGATCAAGTGAATAGTTGCCAAAAGAATAACGATAGATTAAAGAAGAGTGTTTCTCTATCAGCTCAATACAAACCCACGCACAATAAATCGGAGACGGGGCACAAGCAGAAAAGCTGTCCGATCCATAAAAAGAAGAAGATAAAAGACCCAGAGGCGTTCACGCCGTTCGTATCTGACCATTTGATAAAGACTTATTAGATTTAAGTGGTGTAGGTTAGGGGTGATCAATTTAATATCTGGTAACAAAGAACATATATTTTTGACCTAAACGAACAATGGGCAAGTGAATGTTGTTTAATATCCAAACCTTTTGTATAACTAATTAAGTTTTTTATGACCCAGAAAAGAGAAAATCTCATTACGTTACACATTTCAAAAGTAATGAAACTAAAAAAATCAGCACACGCAAGATCATAATCAGTATTATTAAACTTTACATTGTATAATCTATTACAAACAGGTACTTATTACAAAAGGTAATAATTTACAGTTGTGACATAATAAACGCAATTAAAGGTAATCTTAAAGAAAGAAGAAAAGTTTTTGGTAAATGGTTCCCACAAGAGAATAGCATCAAAATGAGTGAGCCAGGGAACAATCAAAAAAGGTTTCCCAAATGCTTCTTGCCCTGTTTTCAATGACGTACCTATTGACATACTGGATTATCAGGTTAATTACGTTAACTGTAGAATGCAAACTGTTTCATATCTCCTGGAATTTTGAATTCCCTGAAGGCTCCCTTGAACAGTGAAGCCCTATTAGTGATTGATGACAAAAATCTATGATTTCTAAACTTTTTTCGATAACTAAGAACCTTACGCAAATAAAGCCAAGTCAATACGATCCTATGATAAGAAAACAACTATGTTGCCATATTTATAGTGAGTGTAAATATGTGTAAATTATAACGATACGACTAGATTAAGTGAACAGTTAAAATAATATTGTAAAACATTGGAATAATGCACTTGATGCTTTAGGTGTATTGTTTTGTTTACTAAACACATTGAATAAATACCGATTGAAATAATACCCTTTTTAATTGTAATAAAAGAAATGAATTCAAACCCAAAACTACAGCAGCTGTCGTTCGTTACTAAGTAAGTAGTTACCTACTATAAGAGTTGTCAGGCCTGAAAACACCACTAAGAAAATGAAGCAGTGCATGTATTATGATTGTCCCCATCGAAAAAGTGGAAAAATACTCAAATAATTAACTACGACAAATGCTCTGGAACAACTGTTTATGTGATTCAGACACCCCAACACTGCATCCAATACTTTGTGACCTAGCAACTTTAATCAATCAACGCTTACTTTCGGTCTGTCAAAATTTGTACAGTTTCCAAATCATTGCATTGTTCAAAATAACAAACAAACAAGTAGACCTATTGCACTTATTTTCTTAATAACCAATTAAAGTTCGATCGGCTGAATTTGAAACTTGCGACATTTAATTATTCTTTCTTACATTACTAAAATGAAAATAAAATAAAACTGTCTAGTTTGACATCTCCTAGGGCTGACAAAAATATTTCATATTCATTAATAGTGTGCCTAAATACATTTAACTTAATACGCCTACAGATTACACGAGTTGAGCTACACTACATCTTACCTTAGACCCCTTGAGTAAAAGTCATGATCGGGCTGAAAGTTCACCCGGAATTTACAACCACAGAATTATTGGATAAACAAACCTATAACTGTCGATCAGAGCAAACTATTAATTGTCGTTATTGCGAACCAACAGAAAGCCCTACTGTGGCCCTACCTACTACTACTAACGATATTTAAATTTGACTCAGAATAAAAATAAGTAATGCGACAACCCTGTAACTATGATTATTTCAACATACAAACAAATAAACTACTTAAATAAGTTTTACATTTATATTAACAGCATAATAATTGCTAATTACAAAAAAAGATCTTGCGTAAACTTACAATAACCGATTTCAATATTTTCATCATAGATTCATGAGATCATTCTTGCGTTGTCGTAAAATGTGCCTAATAATTTGTTCACCAATTATGAAAATCACGATTTTTAAGTCAACATTAAATAATTTATCTGCCATTGTATTTGCATTTAAATTGATTCTACAGATTTCAACTGTAGCCAGTCGTGCGTATTGCCTGATTGTTAAGTACATTGAGGCATATTGCTATCTCGATTGCGGCATTGCCATTCATAGGAACTAGAAAGAGAAAGTGATATCGACTCAAGAGCATCTATTATTGAAATAAGCAGACAGACAATGATCAATAACTTTGTGAAAAAACAGCTGTTGCAGCATTTGTGGAAATTTTGGCCAAGGCTTGTGTCGGAACCCTAGCACCTAAATAGATGATTAATTATTCTCGATTTGTTAAGGTCATGCGTTTTTTTCTTATATTAACAGAACAGCTAAGAAATTAGTGTCACTAAAAAAATAATTCAATGACCGATGTTCTTTTACGAAACCATTCAAAATTAAAATTAATCGTTCGTAAAGATAATATTGATTACTTTTATTGCATAGCAAGTACCGGAGCTATTTTGTCATTGTTTCAAAGATTATTCAACGTTACGCAGATTTATTTTATGTTCAGTCAGCTCAGCAGCTTTACTAAAGCAAAATGAATGATTTCGGAAAATCGGAATCGAAAAAGCATACGAAGGTTATTGACAATTTAAGTTTCGTAAATCAATTTCATGAGAAGTTCTATTCGATTGTGAATAAATAGTCTAAATTGAATCATTCATGTTTTTATCGGCAACTTAACAAATTAGCCGCAGCGCCATACAATTTGCGGGTGACCGAATAAATTTACGCACGCACAATCCACCCGCATGTCAATCGATGTCATCCACCATTGGGCTGTATTGTGAAACCGGATCTCACGGCCGATGCTAGTAAAAGTGTCAGAATTCGATAATTCACGGCCATTTTCTCTGTAAAGAAAAATCACGAAAATAATCAGGCGGGAAAACGATTTGCCGCGCGCGGTTATGAACGCTTTCTAGGTCGCCGCAGGCTGCGTCAGCGCAGTGTCTCGCCCGCGGCGCCCGCGCGCACTCGTCCAGCAAACAACGTATTGTTTACTCGCCGCGCGCTATAAGCCCCCGACGCCGACTCGGATCTCCACTCGCACCCGGCGCTCGTCGCTCAGTGTTGAAACCCTTTTCAGTTGACCAACTAGGTGAAAGGTTTAAAGTATAAAGCAAAAAAATACTTAGGAACAGCACAGACTGCACGAGATGAGGCCAGTGATCTGGCTTGCGTTCCTGGCGGCTTTGGCCGCCGCGGAAATTGCTGAGGAGCCGTGGGTCGAGGAAGAGGATGTGGAGGAGCCTTACAATGAGGAGAGAGAGGAGGAAGTTCACTATCGGAGGCGGAGAGAGGCGTATGTGGAGGATCCTTACGAGGAACATTTGCGAGTGAAGAGACGCTGTGAAGATGAGCCGGAATACCGAGTGAGGCGTTCAGCTGACTACGTCAGAGTTCCACGTCAAGTGCATCAGTACGAAGTGCACGAGTTTTCTGATGACGCAAGTCCGTCGTCACCTCCGTACGAGGAGATGCTCGCGGCAAGTGCCGAGCACTACCACCGGGTGTACGCCCCCGCGGGGCACGCTCGGTACCTCAACCCTGACGTGAGTGGTGTTCCGATCTCTACTGTACCTGTGTCGTCCGTGCAGTTCGCCCCTAACCCTGCTTCAGTGCATTCTCCCATTCAGTTTGTTGCGCCTCCACAACTACACGCCGGATTGGAGGCGACGCCCAGCCGTGTGAATGTCCCTGTGCAGTTCGCTTCTAACCCCTCTGTGCATTCCCCCGTGCAGTTTGTCGCTCCCCCCAATGTCCAGGCGAGTGTGTCGTCGGTTCCTAACCCCGTGCCGGTGGCGGCGGCGGCCCCGCTGCAGCTGAAGCAGCTGGCCGGAGACCAGTTCGTGTCGGCGGCCGGCCACCACCACAAGCACGCGGGCCCGCACCACTCGGGCCACCAGCAGGGCGGCGGCCACAACAGGCAAGCCAAACACTACGCGGATCATGGAGGCAAGGTATGTTGACTGTTTGTTTATTACAAATAACAATAAATACTTTTTACGAACCTACTCATTTATGTTGTTTATCAATCTCTTTGTTTTTTATGTTTAAAGGACATGTGAATGGAATCTGTGTAAAACAAAGCAAATAGAAGAGAAGTTCTATTTACTATGAACATTTAGCGTTTGCTTATATTTTTAGCCAACTGCGTACGACAGTGCTATTTTTGTCGAAGTTCACTGTCAACAGAGATTCTGAAATAATGTAAACTTCAACATTAATAATGTTAGTAGCACGTGTTTTGGAGCAGGTTCACGGTCTAGCATTACTAAAAAAGGAAAAACTACCTACCGGCATACCATTTCTTTCAGATACAAAAATAAATTATAATTTATAAAAATCACTTATTATCTACAGACAGTTTCAAAGTTCTCAAAATAAAGTAAACTACTAAAATTGTTTCTCAAATCAATCTAACTGTTACATTTAAAAAATAAATAAATAAAATGTTACCATTCTACTTTAAGCTCAAATCGTCCTGATCATTGTCATTATTAACGTCAGTGCAATTATAAGGTCACCTCTAAAAGACAGATGAAATTTTAATAGGGCATCTAATTATATTAGAAAAATTGAACCCTAGCATTAAAACAAAAAAAAGGCTAGTTTCTTTTTTTACTTTTCCTAACAAACTAAATGTAATATTTTTAAGAGCACCCTGTACTTAATTTGGTTTATCGACCCTCTCTGTCATTTTCACATCTATATAAATAAAATAAAGTCGTGTTAGTTACTCCACTTATAACTCAAGAACGGCTGAACCGATTTAGCTGAAAATTGTCAGGGAGGTAGTTTAGAGCCAGGAGAATGACATAGGATACTTTTTGTCCCGTTTGAAATTTAAAAAAAAAAGTCTGCTTATTTATTGCCATTAAGGCGGAACAAAGTTCGCCGGGTTAGCTAGTTATTTATATAAGCTGCTGGACGTGACGTCAATGCCATGCCTCCGTACCGCACTGAGCACTTCGGGTTCACTCGACATAACATCAAAAAATCTCGAAAACTAGCATTCTAAAAATATGGTTGTATTATCTAAAACGAATTAATTTAAGATGTTTTATTTGTCCCTTAAATCTCGTCTGTCTTTTGGAGTTGACCTTATAGATGGTCCACTGAACTGTCCAAACTGAACCACTGAACTGTCCAAACAAACTCATTGACAGGTGGGTGCCGACATCGTTCAATTAAATTCCAACATGGAAAAAGTCGGGACCAGCAACCCGGCATTGACGGTGGCGCCCCGCTGTCAATGTCACGGTTAGGACAGTTCAGTATATTGGGTTTATAAGTTTTATCTGACAGCAAGGTATCGTCAGTTGTTATAAACCAACGTGCACACTAATTTGAAAATTATAAATAACTTGAAAAAATCCGACTGCCTAAGGCGGGAATTGAACCCAGGACCTTCCGCTTGCCGGGCGACTGCTCTTCCAACCGAGCTACTTAGACACTGGATTCTGAGATTTTGAAATGCAACTCATAACGCTAAAAATTTAATGACAACATGCACACGTTAGGAGAAACAATAAATTATTTGTTTTATTTATTTAGGTCTCACAGTGCGCGTGGACGCACAGGGTCACACACAAACCAATCACAGAGCTCTATGCAACGCTGAGCGTTCGATTCGCTGCTTCACTTAAGCAAGCATCGTTTGTGAATACGAGCGTTATTAATTTTGGTATACTTAAAGCGTTAACTAGTTATCATAAACAATTATCATATAGGGCGTTTTCCTAAATTCAGTTATCAATTAAAACAAATATCACATTACTGCATCTGGTTTGTCAATTGTAAGCCGTGCTAACAGCAGAGATAACAAATGTATGCATTTTAGTGTCACATTGAATATGATGTGTATTTAAATTTTTAACACAAGATTATTTAAATAATTTTAACAGATACTTAAGCCAAATCCAAAATTATAAAGAAAAAATTCAAATATACATTTTATTAATACACCAAACGGTTAAATTATTGTAACTAATTTGTACTTATTATTTTGAAACCGACTTTATTTCAGTTTGTAACGTTTTACAAGTGTCTTGGTTGAGTTAGTTTTAGTTTTACATTAGTCAGCACTATAAGATACCCCACAGATAACAGATTTTTTACTGGCCGATAGTTGGGCCGGCTTCTAATTTGTATGAAGAATCGGCCGATAACAAATCGGTTCAGAGCAATGTGCGTACTTCCATACATATTATGTTCATACTGATTAACAGCCCGACTCAACTATCGGCCGACAAAAAAAGTCTGTAGTCTGCGAGGTGTCTCAAATTAATCCTGTTGTCTTTGTGATATTTTTATTTTGTAACAGTAAGGCATTGTAAGAATTTTATATTGAAAAACTAATTTACGCCAAAGTTTAATTATTTAAAGCTTTGTTAAAAACCAATATGCCCTTGCACAGTCAGATGTTGCGTTGGTAATCACCAAAAATTAACTTCAATTATTACAACACAAGTCAATGAAAAACATCAATCTTTTAAACTGCGATCTCCAACCCGCCTGCCAAGCGTGGAGATTATGGCAAAACCCTCCACTATAGTGGAGGAGGCTCATAGTCCAGCAGTGGACTGTAAAGGGCTGTTGATGATGATGATGATGAAGTCAATGAAACTCAAAAGCTGAAAAGTGTGTTTGTTTGTTCAGGAATTACTGGTCCGATTTAAAATAATTATTTTTGTGTTGGATATCTAGCCTATTTATTGAGGAAAGCTTTAGGCTAAATAACATCACCCAATAAGGGGCGGAGCAGTAAAGATAAATGTTACAAAAACGGGAAATATTATTAAAACTTTTTAAATTATCATCATAAATGCGTGTATCGTATTATGAGTGCTTACTTGAGTTAGTTGTATCAATTCAATAATTTAATTTAATAACATTATTACCTTTTGAACAAAACTATTTAGAGTTGGCATGTAACCTCGGCGAACGCAATATTTATTTGAAATTAAAATTCTTACAAAAAATTTCATATGGGTGTAATTTTTATAATAGTTGTAGCACGGTCACGCATTGCCTCATCAGAATTAACTGAGGAAATGATGACAACGGCAGCCCATCCGTGAAATAACTGTAATTTCGTCTAACTATAACGTTTAAAGAGCATTTTTTGCATATTTATATTATATTTTTTATTTTATGATCATTTTGTTAAGAAAAAAGGCATGTGAATGTATCTAAATTGGTTTTCTATAACTTATAATCAACCATATATATTTCTTTCTTAGACAGGGTAACATACATAAGAAGAATAATGTTATGAATTACACAAGGTTCATGTGAATTTAATTCAATAAAGCATTGAAGTTTCTTATCATCTTGACTATTTTTTGATCGACAAATAATACGGCACTAAAACTGAAATCACCCTCAATGGTTACAGACCACCAAAGGCCACCACAGTGACCACCACGTCGACAAGGGCGCTAAAGGCTTCAAGACCGACGAGAGGCACCGCAAGGAGTACGAGGAAGCTGCAGGAAAGAAGAAAAAGCATCACGACGAGGCTGGTCACAAAGGAAACCATGAGGAAGAGGCCCATGGGCACAGGGGAGCCAAGTTCGATGAGAAGAAAGGACACAAGAAGGGACATAAGACTAAGGGTAAGTGATATTAGTGCTTCTAGAGTAGTTTACAAGTCAAGGTCGCTTTTATACTGCGCCGCCAGTCCCAAACTAAGCAAAGCTTGTACTATGGGTACTAGACAACGGATGTAAACATACTTAAATACTTTTTTTGTAAATACATACATATTATACATTATAGAAAACACCCAGACCCGTCACAGAAATTAAAATTTATCATTTTTCAATTTCTGCTCGGCCGGGGATAAAACCTCTCGGCATAGTAGTCCGTTCTGAACCACTACACCAAACGGCCGACCGAAAAGATCTGGTTAATTTCGTAATTGTAACATGTTCCGCATTCCATTGTTGCAATTCGATTTGTTTGTTTACATTACATTTCTATTAGTCAATTTGCAAGCTTATTACTCCAGCTTAACGCCACTTACTTGTGTTTGTATTGTTCGAGAAAAATCCACTTGCGGCAGAGAAAGCGAGTCGGTTACATAAATTACTTATTCCGACAGTTGACCTGACCGCAACAATAATTGTGTTACTGATTGGACACGAGAACGTAATCGAACGCACTATCTTATAGATTATTGTGGTTTGTAATCGAATCTTTAGTCCGATTCATTCGGAAGTGCCTCATTCACGCAGTCCATTACGGCCTAACCACAATTTTACAGACACTTGTAATAATGATGGCAAAGCTAAACGATTTAGTCAAGCATTCTGAGTTGTATTATTATTGTACTGCTTTTGCCCACGGCTTCACCCGTGTAAAATTTCGTTATAAATTATAACTTTTATATTCTAATGATGCATAAACAATAATACTGTAAAGTTTCATCAAAATCCGTTCAGTAGTTTTTGCGTGAAAGAGAACAAACTTTCGCATTTATAATATTAGTAGGAGTTTATGAAAATGCTTATAGAAGTTTGTTCTCTTTAGCCTCAATTTATTTAGTAAGCCTCGACTCACAGGCAGTTAGTTCTACCACATTGTTCTATTCGTTTGGGACTCCCAGGGTCGGACTGGGCCGGAAGGGCCCGGGTGGCTGATCGCAATCCCGAGGCCCGAGAAAATACTAAAATAAAGTAAAATAATAAGTAGGTATTTACTAATAACAAATAATAATAAAAAGCTAGCCAATCAACATTTTTTTAAAAGAGGAGAACTTTCAGCTAAGCAGTTAATGACTCGATCGTAAAAGCTTCTGTTTTCGTCATCCTTGATTAGATCCGATTATGTATTTAATACAGTGTGAGTCACAATAAAGTTCACATATGAAATTAGGTGAAACTACACTCGCGAGCAAAACTATGGAATCACTTACATGAAGTTGTTTCCACGCGATCTTCTGTGCTAACGATTTTATTAGTAACAAAAAAGTGGCACCATTTTAAAGATTGGACTTTTAACTTTAAATTGATACCAAATTCATTTAAATCACACCAGTATTTAAAAAGATATCCCGGCTGATGTGAAGAAGTAAGGATAAAGACATGTATGAACTGTTTGATACGTCGCGAGTTGCGGCCTATTTACTCCCTGTAAAAGCACGTGTTTTCGGATTTTTGCTTTCACATGTTAATCCAAACACATCTCCGCTTCTTTTGACACTTAACCTGGGATTCTACACCTTCAGAAGCAGCACAAATCGTTGCACTATTGCAAGAAGGGCTCAGCCAGCGGGCTGTCACACGTCAGCTCCACATAAACCAGTCCTGGGTTTGGAAAGTTTTAAGACGCTTTCGGGAGACTGGTGGCTTTATCCCGAGACCATGTTCTGAACAGCGCCGGAGCACATCGCAGAGGGATGACCGTTTTTTTATGTCAACCTCTCTATGAAGTCGTCATCTGACTGGTATCGACGTCCAGCAAGAGCTCAGAAATGTTCGTAGGATAGCTGTTAGCAAGTGGACAGTTCGTCTAAGATAAGCAATAGAATTTGACTCCAAAAAGGCCTGCCACAGGATCGAAACTGACGGCAGGTCACCGATAAGCACGCTTTTAATTTGCTCGTACATATCTCGATGGGAAGTCGAGCAAGCCACCCCCATAAGCCACAGTTTCAGTGAACCAGCACTGCACAAATCGCTCCCCAGGCCGCCTATAGACCCGACCTCTTCGACTGCTGCACTGCAAACACAGTCTGCATTCATCGGAGAACAAAACTCGCCTCCATTACTCGCCTTCCCATCGAAANATCATAAACAATTATCATATAGGGCGTTTTCCTAAATTCAGTTATCAATTAAAACAAATATCACATTACTGCATCTGGTTTGTAAATTGTAAGCCATGCTAACAGCATAGATAACAAATGTATGCATTAGTGTCACATTGAATAGCATGTGTATTTACATTTATAATAATACAAGATTATTTAAATAATTTAAACAGATAAGCCAAATCCAAAATCATAAAGAAAAAAATACAATTTAATTAATACACCAAACGGTTAAATTATTATAACTAATTTGTACTTATTAATTTTTAAAGTGCACTTTAAGATATCCCGCAGATTACAATCTTTCAGCTTGCCAACTTCCAATATGTTTGAAGAATCGGCCGATACCAAAACGGTGTATATTGTACGCACTTCCATACGTCATGTTCATACTAATTATCTGCCCGACCCAACTATCGGCCGACAAAAAAGTATATAGTCTGCGAGGTGTCTTTAATTTTGTAACAATAAGGCATTGCAGGAATTATAAATTGATAAACTGATTTACGCCAACGTTTACTTAAAGCTTTGTTAAAAAACGAATATTTTATGCTCTTGCACAGTCACATGATGCGTTGGTAATCACCAAAAATTAACTTCATAAAATTATAAGTCAATGAAACTGAAAAGCTGAAAAGTGTGTTTGTTTTTTCAGGAATTACTGGTCCGATTTAAAATAATTCTTTTTGTGTTAGATATCTACCCTATTTATCGAGGAAAGCTTTAGGCTAAATAACATCACCCAATAGGTAAGGGGCGAAGCAGTAAAGATAAATGTTACGAAAACGGGAAATATTATTAAAACTTTTTAAATTATCATCATAAATGCGTGTATCGTATTATGAGTGCTCACTTGAGTTAGTTGTATCAATTCAATAATTTAATTTAATACATTATTACCTTTTGAACAAAACTATTTAGAGTTGGCATGTAACCTCGGCGAACGCAATATTTATTTGAAATTAAAATTCTTACAAAAATTTTCATATGGGTGTAATTTTTATAATAGTTGTAGCACGGTCACGCATTGCCTCATCAGAATTAACTGAGGAAATGATGACAACGGCAGCCCATCCGTGAAATAACTGCAATTTCGTCTAACTATAACGTTTGAAGAGCATTTTTTGCGTAATTTTATTATATTTTTTATTTTATGATCATTTTGTTAAGAAAAACCGGNTCCCAGGTGAAGTGTCAAAAGAAGCGGAGATGTGTATGGATTACCGTGTGAAAGCAAAAATCCTAAAACACGTACTTTTACAGGGAGTAAATAGTCCGCAACTCGCGACATGTCAAACAGTTCATACATGTCTTTTTCCTTACTTCTTCACATCAGCCGGGATATCTTTTAAAATACTGGTGTGATTTAAATGAATTTGGTATTAATTTAAAGTTAATAGTCCAATCTTTAAAATTGTGCCACTTTGTTACTAACAAATTCGTTAGTACAGAAGATCGCGTGGAAACAACTTCATGTAAGTAATTCCATACTTTTGCTTGCGAGTGTAGATCTATTTTTGTCGACAAAAAAGAGATCAAAATTTTTTTGAGAATTTTTTTAAATTTTTTATAGATTTTTTTTTCTTCCAATTACTTTTTGTAAAGAAAACGTAATAACTTTATAACTAACGTATCCTGTAAAAACAGTAATAATGCTAAATAACAGACGATACTAAAAAAAATACTCAGAAAATGTCAACAAATAATAAAAAATGATATTTTTGGAAAAAATCTGCTTTTAAATCCTTTTTTTTTAGTTATTTGATAAATTTCTCCAAAAAAAGCCCCTATAACAGGTGGTTTTTATTACTTTGTATTATTCTCTATCGTATTACCTTTGTAAAACCAAAAATCGCTTGTCTCTATCCCTATCACAACATTTGCTATGATCGTTTGAACTAAGCCTCTCCGGGCCCGCCATTCAACGCTTCGTTAACAACTAAACTGAAAATGGCTCTAGATTTGTAATTTTGATAAAGACAATTTAGATTTCAAATAAAAACAAAAGATTTCGTGCATTTTAAAATTGTCCCTACCTGTAGCGGAGAATAATGTTGTGGTAGGCCTTTGTTCAAACTATCATATAAAATGTTGTGATAGGGATAGAGACATGCGATTTTTGGTTTGACAAAGGTAATACGTTAGAGAATAATACAAAGCAATAAAAACCACCTGTTATAGGGGCATTTTTTGGAAAAAAATATCAAATAACCAAAAAACACGAATTTATAATAAGCAGATTTTTTTCAAAAAGTACCATTTTTATTATTTGTTGGCATTTTCTGAGTATTTTTTTTGTATCGTCTGTTATTTAGCATTATTCATGTTTTTATTTTATCACGATATACCTCTTAGTTTAAAAGTTATTACGTTTTCTTTACAATAAGTAATTGGAAGAAAAAAAATTATATAATTTTTTAAAAAAAATCTCAAATAAATTGACCTCTTTTTTGTCGATAAAAATAGGTCTAGTTTCACCTAATTTCATATGTACACTTTATCGTGACTCACACTGTATAATTAACGAATCTTACAGTTTTTGCCCCAGTAGAGAACGAAGTCTCGTTTTAATGCGCTTTAATGCTGAAAATCGTCTCTCACAAGTCACTTGCGTGAATGAAACTGTGAGAATTAAACACTGTAATACATAAAAGAAGCAAAATAAAACTCCCGTCATTTCCCGGCAATTTTCCGAGTATTGCATTTATTAGAGGACGCAATTTTATTTTTGGGACATGTGTGGGTCAATGTGATCAATAGAAGCTTAACCTCAAGTTTTTGGGGTCGCCACCTTTGTCCCCCAACCGCCATCTTGAAAAAAGGGCTGAAAACATTTTTTAAGCGTCTTACAAAAATTCACTATGTCATAATTTGTAGCAAATTGTTTTGCCTACAAATAATATTATGTTTACATAACTTTTTGTCCTAAATTAAAAATTAGAGAAGTAATACATAAGAAAAAAGGATTTTTTATTTTTTAATCTTTATTTTAAAGCAAATAGTTATATTTACATATTTGCAGGCAAAGCAATTTTCTACAAATTATGACTGTACGACGCATAGTTTCCGACACATGCACGCGGGCAACCGTAGCACAGGGGCCACGCTGCGCGGGCCCCCTGCGCTACGGTTGCCGCATGCCCCGCAACCCAGGCCCGAGGGGGGCCCGCGCAGGCTGGGGCCCGGCTGGCAAATGCCACCCCGACTGTATGGCCAGTCCGACGCTGGGGACTCCACACTATTATGTACAGTGTGTCCGGGCATGTAGTGATCAAACTTTAAGGGCGTAATCTATGGACAATTTTATCGATGTAAATACTTCAAATTTGGGGCTTGACCCATTTCTCGCAAAATTACAAGTATTTAAGTTTTGAATTTTAAGTTTTCACTACTTCCTTCAAAAACAAGTGATAGCGTGGGTAGCTAAACACTAATAAGCAAAAATATTATATCATGCGATAGCCAATAAAATTACCTATTAGCGGAAGTAAAAAACAGGGTAGCGCATTTTCTTACATAACTTTTCAATTCCTATCATTGGAGGTCCGAAAATATTTCTCATACAATTTGATACTATAATGATCATTCTTCATAAAAAATTTAAAACCTACATATTTAAAAACATAATCATTGATATTCATAATATCACTAATCATACTCTTAGTTTTTACTAATATTTGTTTTAATATATTTTTCTATACTAATAATCGAAANACAAGATGTTTCCTCTTCAGAATCTATGTCTTCGCGTTTATTTCCGTGCCGCTTGGCAACTGCTTTTTTGTCGCAGTAATACTCAAAGTCCGACCTGTAAAATATAGAGTTAAAGTTATAAGACGAAATTATGCTGTAGGTACCACATTATGTTCAATACAATACATGTATTGAACATTCAATAACAACATACAGTAAACAACTTCAAAAAATCGAACTGCCTAAGTTCATAATTATGCACATTATTATTCTCATAAAACACACAAGGAAAAAAGTTAAAAAAACTTACGAACATTATTTCGTTGCTGTAGATTGGTCTTGAAGCTGAAGAATACCTTAACCTTGAAGGTTGATGAGCACTATGTGGCACTACTGGAGTTATTAAATTTTATCGATTTGGAGGTCATAATTTATCTAAAAATAATGCAAGATCAGCAAAAGAGGTAGTCAACATTTTTTCAATTTGTACCGCTTAGTTAACGGGTAAAATATAATGTATAATTACAAAAGTAACCTTCAAACACAGGGTTTACGATCACTGGCCAAAATTTTTTATAGAATCAGCAATTGCAAAATGTTATTGCTGATTAACATTAACATTTGTGAAAAACAAAAGTTTCAATTTACTCAGACGTCCGCATAATCAGTGTAGGTACAGTCGGCGTAAAAAATATATGATGATTTTTTTTTCATATTAGGATATTTTTCTTGTTACATACTTTAGATTATTTCTTAAACATACTATCTTTCTTTCTTTCTTTGAATAATTTCACGCGGCGCCATCTAGTTTCAAAGTAAGCAACTAAAATGCTTGTGTTATGGGTGTTAGCTTAATAAATAATATCCATTGGATATACTACTTAAAAACTATTTAAATACATAGGTACCTACACATTATACATAGTAACACCCAGACCCATCACAGGAATTAAAATTCATCATTTCAATTTCTGCCCAGCCGGGAATCGATCCTGGGACTTCTTGCGTAGTATTGCGGCCTGTTGACCACTAACCACTCAGGTTGTTTTACTATGTAAAGGTACATGTGATCATATTGACTGATCGTGTGATGAGGTATGATCTCGATAATTGCATTATTTCGTTTTTTTCTTTGGTTGTTTATAGAAACGATAAGCATAACATAAGCAATAAATGCAGTGTTTCAACATTTTTGTAGAGTTATTTTTACTACTGACTGTACTTACATGCTCAAAACTGTGGTTTCAGCAGTAACAATATACTTGCATTATAATTTATAAGATTAGGGTTCCTTAAAATTTGAAACCATTTTATCGTCTTTGTTAACATTTAAAAACATTATTATACACTAATTAATTATTTAANTTCACTTCTTTTTCAGTTATTTTCCAACACAAGAAAAACCAGGTCATTAAGGTATGTTTTATTTCCATTGTATTATTAGTATTTGAGCTATTCTACAAAACGAATGTAAATTTATTAGTCTACGTCTATTAGTTTCGACGTAATTGTTGAACAAAGATACCCCTTCCCAGCGGTTTCCATAGTAATCGGAATAGGTTGTGTGATTCTTTCAGGCAGTGCATTTTCGCATGTCGCGTGCGCTATGGAAACCGCTGGGAAGGGGTATCTTTGTTCAACAATAACGCAAAACTAATAGACGTAGACTAATAAATTGACATTCGTTTTGTAGAATAGCTCAAATACTAATAATACAATGCAAATAAAACATACCTTAACGACCTGGTTTTTCTTGTGTTGGAAAATAACTGAAAAAGAAGTGAAAAAAGTCACGTTTTTTTCTAATTAAATCCATTCTTACTCCCTAAAAATGTATGAAACTTGTGTCCGTTTTCTACTTCTGCTAATAGATAATATTATTGACTATCGCATGATATCAAATATTTGCTTTTAATGTTAAGTTACCCACGTTTTCACTTGTTTTTGAAGGAAGAGGTGAAAACTAAAAATTAAAAACTTAAATCCTCGTAATTTTGCGACAAATGGGTCAAGCCCCAAATTTGAAGTATTTTCATCGATAAAATTGTATATATTACGCCATTAAAGTTTGATCACTACAAACCCGGACACACTGTATATGCTATAGAATCTATAGCATGGTGTGGAAACCCAAACGGTAAAGTAAACATTGGTTTTTTTTTTCTAAAATCCTCTAAATAATATTATAGGCTACCACAACAAGTACCACAAGGACGAGTTCCACAAGGAGCACAAGTTCTACGACGACTACCACAAGAGCGGCGNAAATCCTCTCTATAATATTATAGGCTACCACAACAAGTACCACAAGGACGAGTTCCACAAGGAGCACAAGTTCTACGACGACTACCACAAGAGCGGCGAGCACCACCGCTACGGCAAGTTCCACGCCAAGCACGCCAGCAACGAGAGCGGCAAGAAGAAGGCGCACCACGTCAACGCGGGACACGACTTCGTGGAGCGAGGCAAGAAGGGATACAGGTGAGAATACAAACTATTTGTCACAAGTATTGTAGCGACGAGCACCACCGCTACGGCAACGAGAGCGCGGGACTCGACTTCGTTGAGCGAGGCAAGAAGTGATACCTACAGGTAAGAACGCAAGCTATATGTCAAAAGTATTGTAGCGGCGAGCACCACCGCTACGGCAACGAGAGCGGCAAGACGAAGGTGCACCACGTCAACGCGGGACACGACTTCGTGGAGCGAGGCAAGAAGGGATACAGGTGAGAATACAAGCTATACGTTACAAGTATTGTAGCGGCGAGCACCACCGCTACGGCAACGAGAGTGGCAAGAAGAAGGCGCACCACGTCAACGCGGGTCATGACTTCGTTGAGCGAGGCAAGAAGGGATACAGGTGAGAATATACACTATTTGTCACAAGTATTGTAGCGGCGAGCACCACCGCTACGGCAACGAGAGCGGCAAGAAGAAGGCGCACCACGTCAACGCCGGCCATGACTTCGTTGAGCGAGGCAAGAAGGGATACAGGTGAGAATACAAGCTATTTGTCACAAGTATTGTAGCGGCGAGCACCACCGCTACGGCAACGAGAGCGGCAAGAAGAAGACGCACCACGTCAACGCGGGACACGAATTCGTGCGACGAGGCAAGAAGGGATACAGGTGAGAATACAAATTATTTGCCACAAGTATTGTAGCGGCGAGCACCACCGCTACGGCAAGTTCCACGCCAAGCACGCCAGCAACGAGAGCGGCAAGAAGAAGGCGCACCATGTTAACGCGGGACACGACTTCGTGGAGCGAGGCAAGAAGGGATACAGGTGAGACACAAACTATTTGTCACAAGTATTGTAGCGGCGAGCACCACCGCTACGGCAACGAGAACGCGGGACTCGACTTCGTTGAGCGAGGCAAGAAGTGATACAGGTAAGAACGCAAGCTATATGTCACAAGTATTGTAGCGGCGAGCACCACCGCTACGGCAACGAGAGCGGCAAGAAGAAGGCGCACCACGTCAACGCGGGACACGACTTCGTGGAGCGAGGCAAAAAGGGATACAGGTGAGAATACAAACTATTTATCACAAGTATTGTAGCGATGAGTACCACCGCTAGAGCAAGTTCCACACTAGCAAAGAGAACGGTAAGAAGAAGACGCACCACGTCAACGCGGGACATGATTTCGTTGAGCGAGAGAAGAAGGGATACAGGTAAGAACGCAAGCTATATGTCACAAGTATTGTAGCGGCGAGCACCACCGCTACGGCAACGAGAGCGCGGGACTCGACTTCGTTGAGCAAGGCAAGAAGGGATACCTACAGGTAAGAACGCAAGCTATATGTCACAAGTATTGTAGCGGCGAGCACCACCGCTACGGCAACGAGAGCGGCAAGTAGAAGGCGCACCACGTTCACGCCGGCCATGACTTCGTTGAGCGAGGCAAGAAAGGATACAGGTGAGAATACAAACTATTTGTCACAAGTATTGTAGCGACGAGCACCACCGCTACGGCAACGAGAGCGCGGGACTCGACTTCGTTGAGCGAGGCAAGAAGGGATACGGGTAAGAACGCAAGCTATATGTCACAAGTGTAGCGGCGAGTACCACCTCTAGGGCAAGTTCCACGCCAGAAACGAGAGCGGCAAGAAGAAGGCGCACCACGTCATCGTGCGACACGAATTCGTGCGACGAGGCAAGAAGGGATACAGTTAACAATACAAACTATTTGTTACAAGTCAAGAAAGGATACAGTTAACAATACAAACTATTTGTTACAAGTGTTGTTTCAGTAAGTTTACACATCATGAAAGACGAAAGACGACACAAAGATGATAGTTCTTCTGATAGTTACGTTAGTAAATTAGTAGACATTACAATCGTTGTACAGCGTGTTAAAACTAAAACAGAACATCCTGTAGTTTGGGGATAGATAAGATTAAGATTATAAATCAAATAGAAAATTATAGCCAAATAGCATCGATATAAAGCCATCAAGGAACAGGAACATAAAATGAAGAATAAATTAAAAACATTGAAGAATGATTTTATTCGTTTACAAAAGACATCGGGTAAATGATATGTTTTGTTTCCTTTACAGCAATAAGGGTCACCAAGACTCCGATCACAAAGGCTACAATGGCAAGGATGGTCACGAGGAGCACCATCAACACCACTCCCAGCACGGCAAAAAGGGAGGCAAGGAGGGCGGCTCCCACTGGGGCTACGCCAAGAAGAGCTAATCTGGACGCTGATTACCTTAGGAACTTAAGTTTGGTCTTATCAAACAGTGCTGTGGCATCGGTAGTTATTATTTGTATTTTGTTTAGTAAGTCTACAGTGATCAAACAGTCGCCGCTGCAGCAGGTTTACAGCGAGTATATTATCTACTGAAGAAACAGAAGTTACCTTGTAGTTAATTCAGTTATTCAGAATTCTTTCTATTGATTCTAATGTTTTTTTTTTGTCTAGATGCTTTTCCAAGAAATTGTTGATGATTTGAGCAGCAGTATTACTAAATTACCTACATTTTCAGACAATCGAATAAAATCAACCAATTTTAACCAGACAGAAAAAAACAAGGGTCTCTTCAGTTGCAGAATCCAAGCTGTCTTTGTCATTTTTACGCAACACCCAATTAGATTCAATTGTGCCTTTTTGTCTAATTGTAATTTCGATGCTCTATTAACTTTCAAAACACCAATGTTCCCCATTAAATGAAGCGACAAAAACTGACCGTCACTTGAAGAAACGCAGGAAGACATAATTTACATAACTTTAAACCCTAACGTCTTTATAAATACTTTTTTGTTGATCTATTTCATTTTGTCTGTCGTTGGTTCTCACGCCGAATTTCATGGATGTTGTTTATTTGCAATCACCTGTCTTATCTGTAAAAAGACACTTAAAACTCCATCAAGAGTCGAATGAACTGCTCGAACAAACCCATCTAGTTGCATAACCGACTGAGACGAATCGACCGACAACCCACTAACGAAACATGAGCGAGCCCGCATTTTTTGTTTCGTGTCCATTTTTTCTACGAGTTGCACTGGTTTGAGCTATATTTAGATACAAAGCCAATACTAAAAGGTGTACTACGTGTTGGGTCAAGCAAGATCCAACTTCAAATGTCATTCCTATTTTAACCGTTTCTTTTCAGTATTATCGCACTANTCGCACTATTCCTGGAGTGAAGGTTATGTCAAGAATAGACTTGATGGTACCATGAACGGGATTTTCAACAGCATCAATATCCTTTGATATTATACTGCTAACAAATTTAAATACGACAGGTAATTACATTTGTTTGCAGTACGAATATATTTTTTTACTATTGTTGTAAATATTGTTAAGAACGTATTAATTTTATACTTAGTAAACTTATATGATTGCCTCAAATAAATAGTTTAATGAATATATTGTTTATAATTGTCTAAAGCTGATTCCTAGTTTTAGTTATGAATTTATGTAAATTGGATCAATACGGAACTTGTTTAAAAACAAGGCGAATATCTTTACGATAAGCTTTTATAAGTTAAAAGCATTTTAATTTTAAGAAAAAAGCTGTGTTACTGTTACACATATTTATTTTGTTACCAATAACAATAATACTATTATTAACATTTTGTTAATTTTAACAATAAAATTTATGAATGCTTGTTGAGTTTTTATTTCAATAAAAATATACTTACTTAACGATGTGTCGATGCACAAATAACTTTAACGTAATTTAACAGCTTAAAGAACTTAGCAAGATGCCTTTAAGTTTTACACAATATCAAAGTAAAGCCTCAACTGAGTGATTTTTTGTAAATGTTTCATTTTCATGTACCTAGGAACGACGGCACATCTCGCTACACACTGTGCTCATAAATGTAGCTCTATTATGAGCAACAATAAAGAATATATTGTGCAGTCTTACATTCCTGTATGGTTCTGTTCTTTGTAATCATGAAAGCTGTCCCCATTTTGTTACGTATTTTTGAATCATTTTAATTTTGATCAGCATACGAAATCTCAAAAATCGTAATTTCTGTGCATTCGAATGTGAATCGAAATTCTAATGCTTCAAACTTACGCCCCTTTTTAGAAATTGAAAGATCAAAAAATTTTTGAATCATATTTTAATTTAGTCTCTTCTTCAGCTTTACATGCAGTTGAAAGTAGTGTAAATGGTCTTCATTTATCAAGAGAGCGATTCTGTTTGGCTCAAATTTTGTTTTTCAACACAGGTATATTTTTGTGACAGATGCAACTTAGCTTCAGAAAGTTAATGTATGCGATCATATCGATTTGAACTCGGCAGTATGGTGCATTCTCTATTGGCATTGCTGATGTACTCGATGCACTCCCACTAAAAAATAAGTGGGTAACTCTTTACAAGTCATTGTTTTTGTACCTTTTGCCTAGGCCATAGAATTGAATGAAACGAAGCTTACGGTGTTCAATACGGCGGCTTGCAAGGCACCGGCGGAGGCACCTTGGGGTCGTGGTGCTTGGTGTAGATGGCGACGGTATGATGCGGCCGCCGCGGAAAGAACACGCGCTGCCCCTTGTCGTCCACGAAGTCCGAATAGTCCATGGTCCACTCACGCTTCATGCCGCATCGCTCGCAGATCTTTGACCTAGAGAAATGAAGTATTGATGTGTAATGGTGCGAATATCTTTTGTATTTCAGAATAATACTTAAACCCCAATATAAAGACTTTTGTTTGTCTCATTAAGTGGCCTTAATACAACAAATCAACAACGATAGATCACAATCTGAATCCCAATACGTTCCATAAAGCTTAGTTACGATTTACGAATTTAAAGACTAGAAGATAGAATAAAATGAAATCTGGAAGAAAAGAAGAGTAGCATTTATGCGATACATGATCTTACAAAACTTACGTGTATTGACTGGTAGCGATGACAGTTACAAGTGGATGTCGCAACTCTTGCGCGTGTTCAAGCAATGTTTTCAGAATCATAGTACCCACGCCCTGCCCAGTGACTTCAGCGGCTGTTGCTAGTACTTCCACCTGTAAGAGCAAGCCTGTTTACCTTAAAACATACCAGTTAGTTTACACTTCCAGAGAAATGCATCTATAAGAATCTAGCTAGAAAACCATCTAAGATAAAATGCTTACGTCATAGAGGTACGGCACGTCATACTTGTCGAAGAAGTTAGGGCTTCGATAGCAGTGGGCGCAGAAGTACATTCTGTTCCGTTCAGGCTGCGAGTACGTGAAATGAGCCCAGTCTTCGAGCTCATCTGCCACCCACGGGTTGATCTTGTTGGCCACGCTGACGCCAACTAGCCGACGCTCACCAGTCCGGGCCACGTGCTCAAAAGCAAGGAGACGATCACCTAAAAAAAGTCGCACTGATTATGGAATATTTATATTTGGAGCAATTGAAGTAGGAAGAAAATAAGTCACACAAAATAACCAATCAAGAGGCTGAGTGCAAAAAAAGCGCAGTTACATTTAAACTAGGGACTAAAATGGCAAAGAATCGCCACCACTCCACTAATAAGTATTCACCTGAGGCATTGTAGGTATTGCAACAAATACGATTTTGAAACTTTCTTGAATTCTATGAAACACGTCATCATCAGAGATAATACAGTCATGATGATTGACGATGATCTTACCAGAGTTAGAATACTTGTCGGTGAGGATGTCCAGGTAGGGACAGTCCAAAGACATCCACAGAGCAGCCACGCTGGGCTCCCGTGGCCAGAAGTGCGTGTAGAGGAACGACCGGATCATACGCGCGTGGCAGGCGTTACCGCGTTCCACAGTGACGCTTCTGATATCGAAGCACTGGCAGAAACAAAGTAGATTTTAAATAGTTGGTCTGTCAAACTAATCTTGATATTCTATGGAACTCAATGCTTTCAATCAAGCTGTCCCTGCTGCTGTGATACGGATGAATCGTCATGATTATTGACATAAGAAAGCCAAGCTTTTCTAGCTTCAAGGAGAACTGCAAATACTTACTGGTCTTTTATCTGGTGGATACAAGCAGACATCACAAGTTGAAGGTTTTCTACTATAACTTCTGATAGGCACTGTGGTCATTGGTTGGCAGATAAAGCGATTATAAAGCCTCGGATCAAAACTTTTGATAGGTGCTGAAAACTTCTTCAAGCTCTGGCTAGATCTCGCTACCCCTATTGCCAAATTCTTAAAATGATTCATCTTGGATCCCTTTTACGTAAGATACATGTTTCATAGATATTTCAAGTATTTTTTTGGTTTGGTTTATGGGAAATTTTGCTTTATTACATGACTTAATTTTTGTGGAAACGAAAATTGGTTGTTTTGTTGCACACTTTCGTGACGTGAGAGAAATTTTGAAATTGGTATCACAGATGATATCCACACCAAATCTTCTATGATCTATGCTAAAAACACCTTCATCCTCTTTTCTTATTTGAATTGATCTTTAATTTTGTGCAATAATTAAATGCAAATATCTTGAAATCGCTTGAAATGGGCTCTAAAGTCCTTAGGTTATGGAAGAATATTTTATGCGTGTGTGAATTACAAATATTTTTGCGGATTTTACATAAATTACAGGAACTTTTTGTGTAACTGTAAAATTTAAATTCAGAAAAAATATATACTCAAACTGTCATAGCATCCGTCATTATGTCACCATAATTATATTTTGGACATTTTTTTATAAAAAATACATTAACAGCCGTTACCATGTTGAGCCGGAGACATAAATAGGAAAACGCAATAACAAGCCCGAAGTCACCATTCTCGTGTGCCCAATTATGTCCACAGTGTCCAATATCCTGAGGTTGCTTTCAGTTCGCAATGTGATCAGGAAGAATTCTTCCACCCCTGGTTGTTTCAGCCGACCTGTCAGAAGGACCTACGCAGACTCGTCAGAAACAGATTCAAAATCTAAGCAAATCGTGGTAAGTCAACGTATAAAAACAAGGACTTCATTAATTACAATTTTGGTGCAGGTTCCATTCAAAGTAGATTAACTGTTCAAGAAGGAAAGAGTAGGTATAAAAATAATCTAGGTGTAGGAACCGGGTGTACGAAGTGAACTATCTCGTTACTAGAGTTTAGTGGAACTACACCATGCAGAATTAGATGGTTTAATGTTAATAAGGTGGGTCTCAAGTTCTCAACTAATTGACCAAAGTTTTGGCTTACGGGCATAGCTTTCGTCAAAAACGTTTGAAAATTCGATGGGTATGACTTTCGTAAATTGATGATCAGGCCCAGGGCACCGAGAATGAGGAGCGTGTGCGCGTGCGGCGCGCGCGCGTCAGCGACGTGCCGCGCGTGCTGCGCTTCGTGCGCGAGAACGTGCGCGTGGCCTGGCCCGCGCTCGTCGCGCCGCCCGCCGCCTCGCACATCGTGCTGGTCGACTACGTCACCAGGGCACTTGCTCAAGGTGCGTTTTTTTAAAGTACCCCCGTTATTTTTTTTGAGAACTACCTTCAGCCACCATCTAAAGCCGGAGTCCTGCATTCCAACATTATCGTTATTTTTTCTTGATGAAGGGGGTTGTATTCCATTGCCTCTGCGCGGTGTTCATCATACTTCTCAGATATCAAATATTAGAGACACAAATAAAGCAAAAGCAGGTGTTTTTTTCTGAAGTTTAATGTTCAAACAACTCAGGAGTATTTTGACCACTCGAAAAAAGAGAAGAAGGCTGAAGAAATCACAGAATCACTTATGTATGAACTTGTGAAAGTTACTTTTGTTCAAGCAATATGGTTGTAACTATGTCTTGATTAGTCCAAATACCTATGTAGCAGCATCTATCAACGCATGCAAAGTTGTTCGACAATATGTGACACGGAGCGACATATTCCATCTCGTCCTGGCAGGCCACTCCATGCTAGCGGAGCAGCAGGAGACGCGCGGCTGGTCGCAGATCCGCGGGCTGGCGCTGAGCACGGCGCTGTGCCCGTGGGACGCCGCCATGCTGGAGCGCTGGGCGCGCTGCGTCAAGTGCCGCCGCTCGCGCAAGCTCATGAACTTCACAGCACACTGCCTCCGCGCGCCTGCGCTGCACGACAAGTATAGGGTCCATAACATACTGCAAGTGAGTGGGATCTATTACATTTCGCGAAGAAGAGCCTTAGAGAAATAAAATTTATTTATTCTTTGCTATCTTACTTATTTATGATTCACGACTGATAATGGCTACTAATGAAATTAATTACGGTTAAACCTAGATGTCTACTGCTGAAAATGGATTACCCATATTTCAAATGGTCATTTTCAGCAAATTACTCTTACTCATCTGTTGTTTAAATAGTCATTGTCGAAATCATTGGTCTATTTAGTGGTCAATTGAGCACTCGTGCGTATATTGGGCTAGATTTAGATTTCAGGCAAGTTAGTTTTCAGTGAATCATTTTGGTATTTGGCAGGTTGTCCTCATCGTTCCTCCTGAAACACCAAAAACTTCTGAGATCATCAACGTTCTCGCCAAGAATGCCATCCAGAGAGGTCGAGAGGTTGGCTTCCCGCTCATCAGATTTGATGTATCAAACGACCTTGTGTTAGTGGCTTTCTAATCTTCTTCGTTATTCTTTTACGATGGTGTTATTTACAATTTGCTTTACTCAATTACAGTGCCAAATCACTGGAAGAATTAAATCTGAAGAAGGAGTGGCATCTGTCCTATGAAATAGTTCCACATGCAATGAAAGAAAGAGACTTCCCAGCTGTTCCAGAAAACAAATCAGAAACACAAGCGCCTCAAACGTCAAATTCACCAAAAGAATCGCGAAACGAAACCAAAAACAAACGCTTCAATGGAAACTACATAGCTGTTTATACTGCCTTTTCTGACTCGGCTAAAAAAAATACCCTACCATCAGGATGAAAAAAATTAATCCATTCGAATCTTTGAAAACATAATATCTACTGAACCACGCACCTTTTATAATTTGACGACCTAGTGACGGTTGCTAATAAAATAAATAATGTGGCAGAAGTCTTTATTTTTGTTTGTCTACGAACTAGGTAAGACCGGCCCTTTGGCAATTTTTCAGTCCTACGTTTATGATCGATTTCGTCTTCTCGGATTAAAGTTCTTCAGCTTTAAGGTTAGCTCAATGACTACCAAGAATACCCTATAAAAAACCTCAATTGTTATCGATCTCTTTTCACGGATAATCGCCGCGCCAGACAACTGTCCGCTAAGTTTTTATACCATGAGGCCTTGTACTCATTACACATTTCCACTTTATTTGTGCCATTAGTAATCTGCAAGTATCAATTTCATGCTAAGTTGGACATAGGCTTTCGACATCTCATATCGGGTGCCTGTTACGGAATACGTCCTCTAAATTTTTTGGATTATACATACTGAAAAACTATTGTTTTACACGGTGTTTANAAGTTGAATACATGACCGAATTCACTTTATCTGCTATGGCGGCTAACAACATGCTGACTCAACTGAAAAACATGCAAGACACGTTATTAGATACTGTTACTAACGTGTACAATGGAAAGATCAACATTCACCTCATTGATCCTCAACAATTACAAAATCAACTAAGTGTTATTTCAAGTCAATTGAAAGAACTCACTTTGCCCATTGACAACATACAATCAGATTTACAGAACATTTACCAATTGCTACGAGTGAAAGCAAAAGTAACAAAACAATATTTGATATTGGAGATAAGAATCCCACTTACCAGCCGAGATAGTTATGAGTTGTATAACATTCAAAGTGTCCCACATCAAACTGGAAAAAATATGGTCACCCTACTACCTATTGAAAGTTACGTTGCAATGAACTTGCAAAAAGATTCATACCTACCTGTAACATCTACGGAACTAGGTCATTGCATGCTTCGTGACGTCAAAACATACCTTTGTCAACTGAAGACACCTGTTTACAAGATGAGAGCTGATAAAGATCTATGCGTTCAAGATGCAGCTGACCACTGTAAAACAATCACTACTGTCTGTCAGAACAAATGGATAAGTTTGAACAAAATGAACCAATACCTGTATTTTTGCTGTGATCACTGTCAATTACGAACAATTTGTAATGAACAAGTCACCGCACATGAACTGAAAGGGGCTAACATCATAAACATAGAGAACAGCTGCTTAATAAAAACAGCTAATTTTACCATTTACTCTCATAAACAACACGAGAACAGAATTGAGCTAACATCCAACATTGAAATCCCTGTCATACCTCCCATAAATAACGTTATAAACATAACAGTCAAAAGCACACAAGAAGACATTACAGAAACATCAACTACAGATAAACTGCACCGCGATATAGAACAACAGATAAAGAACATGAAAGAAAATCAGGCGTTACCGAATGACATCTCTGCTCATGATGTTCACCACTATTCATCAATATGGGGGTTATGGGCAGTAGTAATCATCGCGGGTATAATTTTCATCTGTCGTCGCCGTGGTTACCACTGTAACCGGCAGCGACAATCGACGAACACGGAGACAACAGGAGCGGCGGAAGGAGCGGCGGCGGCTGGGCCCAGCTCTGGCCCGCAGCCGAGCCCTCACAGCGAAACACCAAGTGCTAAGTGTAGTGATAGTGAGAGTGTGAAAGTGAATGTGCGCGGTTATAAAGAAAGGGGTACGACCCCAGTGTTACGAAAAATCGCATTTAGTGAGGACTCGTAAACATAACATTTAGAGACATTAAGTTTTAAAGTTTTCTAAACATGTCTAACAAACCTTTCAAATTAGTTTTACTATCTTGTGTAACATTATTTTANGGTGTTTATTCATATTAAGATCTACCCATTCCTTGCACATCACGAAATACAGTAAAAAAGAAGGACCGTAGGTATATCATAACATAGCAATCGCGTCGCATTTCGGAGAGCAAACCCTTAACTGTAAAGGACAAAAATATTGCCACTCTAGGCTCTGAAATAGTTTTTTTGGTGATGCTGATGCATCAGACGTTTTCGTTGGTACTGATATCTTGAATCTATNTACAAATTCTTTTAATCCAAACATTCAACCCTGAGCCGCAATAATCTATCATGATGCAATTTGATCTCAAATTCGTTCACCGGCTTTTTAACAAAATCGCTGTCCACTAAGAAGTATTTTCAAGGGTCACTCCGTTGTTATACGTTGTGAAAGACTGTGGTAGCTGCAATATCTCGTTATATAAAATACAAGCATTGAATTACAGCTTTGATTTGAAACCGAGCGCTGAGCGGCCTGACAGTTTTTCTATCGCAAGGTACGAGTAACTTAAATGCAACTATGCTGCAATGAGTTTTAAAATCATCTAATACGTTTCTAAGTGAATCCTATTGTTTTTCAGTGAAATCTTTCGTCATGGCACTGAAGTTTGTGCCGATTGCGTTAGGTGTGCTGCAAATTGTTGCAGCATTACCGGCGATAACATTGCAGGATTTGGAACTGGCTGATGATACGATGTCAGTCGGTTCGTACATTCGGGAAGTGAGAGCTGCTGCGGTAAGTTCTTATTCAAACTATTGCGACACTGTATTGGCCTTGCAATTGGACCTGAAAAAATTCTTTAAATTGAATATTGACCTTGCCAAACGAAATGCACAAGTTTTCTCTTAAATAATATCGATATTGCAGCCACAAGACTACCACAAATCTTACGAGCGCGATGGCGATGGTGAAATCGGCNATTGGTCCTTCGAGCAACGGCCTCGCGAGTCGGTAAAAAACTTTAGTTTGGTGTCGATAAGTGAGGTGTATGAACTAGCAAAACATTGGTGAAAGGATTGCAGTGTTTGGACAACATCAACAACAACAGGACGGAGCATCAGCAGCGTGTGCAGCAGCCCGTAAGCTGAACAACACCTGTAAGATCTGTCCATTTATTTCTCTTAACAATAACATCAAACATGGTAACTTTGGAATCGCAATACCTGCTTTCCGAAGATATCGAACGGGAGTTTAAGAACTATAAAAAGGATGGCGCTGAACGTAAGAACAGTTTTGAGTATTTCAAAAGGCGGTGGAACAAACTAGAGGAACTATGGAATGAATTCCAATTTAATCACGAACAATTACTAGAAAACATTAGCCAAACAGACCCATATTTTGAAAACAAACAGTACGACGCGACTAAAGCGATCTACACACAGTTCAAAAACCTCATTAACAGTGATTGTCAACAATTCCAATCACAACAGACGGCATCTACCTCTAAGATGTCTGATAAACAGAGAATGTCAGGGACAGAACAGCTGCAGGGTGAACAAGGATCCTACAGCAAGTTAGACGAAACATTACGTAAACAGCTAGGCAACTTCAAAGCATTTGAGAGAACAGTGTCTAATATCAACATAGAACAGATGACAGATAAGTGGGAGTTTGAGGACGCATTGAAATTATTAGAAACACGTTGGACAACAATAGACAGCTTACATTGGGAAATAGACAGTGAGTTAGATGGTAAAAACTTAGAGTACGAAGCAAGGTTTTCTAAAAACGAAAAACAATACAACATGTTGAAAAAGGAAATTAACAAGAAAATGTGGTCAGTGTCGCATAGAGAGAAAACAACTCCAACATTAGACATCCCGGTGTTCGGTGGGAACTACACGCAGTGGGTGTCCTTCAAAGACTTGTTCAATGAGGCAATTCATAACAATCCNAAAAAAAACCTGAAAAAATTCTTTAAATTGAATATTGACCTTGCCAAACGAAATGCACAAGTTTTCTCTTAAATAATATCGATATTGCAGCCACAAGACTACCACAAATCTTACGAGCGCGATGGCGATGGTGAAATCGGCTACTCCAGAAAGAAGTCGGGCGGTGGTAAGAAGGGATACCAGCACTTCGATTCATACCACAAGAAGGCCGGCGACAACTACGAGTTTGAGAAGCAGGACTCTTTCGGCCACGACGACGAGGGCCAAGACGGGGCCTATAGCCACCATCACGAGCAAAAAGGTGACGAGGAAGGAAAATCCGCAAAAATTATTAGGAGACCGTTTAAATTCATTCGCAGGCTACTAAGATGGTTCTTTTAGTTAATCAATAAACTAAATTGTTCATGAGACAGCTTTTGTTTTCATAACTCCTTTCCTAGTGCCTGAATCAATAACTCACTGACTCAATTTGGCATGTTTTCAGCTAAGTTGAAGAAACGTCCCAAGGATGTTGAGGAACTGGAGTACGTCAGCGAAGGTCAACCAGAAAAAGAGCACGAAGACCTTACGTAAGTAGTAAAGATCACTTATAAGTAGTACGATAGGAGGACAGACTGACTGATGCTGGCTGGCAGGTCTCGAGGTATTTTTGTATTTTTAATATCCTTTAAAAATTCTTCCTGCTTAGTTAAAGTCCAGTTGCAGAACCGCTAGCTGTTAGCCGTTTGATGAGGCCGTATATATTTCTTTTGTAAAATTTTATTAATCTACTTTTTCCACCAGGGAAAACGCTCCAGACGGTAACGGTGGAACCGAGGCACAAGGACATGACCCCAAAGACTACGTCTTGCCTGAGAAATACACTTACGGCGAAGGGGACGAATACAACTTCTAATTTGTCTAGCTAGATATTTTTTAAATCTTTAGACTGATAGATGATAATTTGAAGTAAAAATAAGAAATACGATAATAAAATAGTTGTTAAAAATGTTTATTTATTTAATTTCATACATTCATAACAATTAATTTATGTGCAATGTAATAATAATGTTAGGTTTATTTCCTGCCACTATTAGTTGCTTGTTTCACTATGCAATAAAATATAAGGACTGACAATCGACAACAGGTGAGTGCATTACCGCAGCAAAATTTTTATATAATTAAATGTTGTGCTTTAGAGAGTCGAGAGTATAGCAGATAATTAGTCCATCGTGAGCAGAAATTTGTCCACTAATAGCAAAATTCGTTCTAATTATAGTTTTAAAGTTATTAAGAAAAAACAGATTTTCAAACATTACCCCAGCAAATTTTTTTTTTTAAAGTCGTTCTATCCCGGAACCAAATACATGGATAGATAGCTTTTGTTGCGTAGTAATTTGTCCACGAATAGCAAAATTTTTTCGTGTTCCGGTTTTCAAGTTATTCAGAATTTTGCTGGGGTAATGTTTTGTGATGTCCCAGATCTCGTAAATGGCTCAACGCAGAAGTATTGGTATTTTTTTCAAACTTCTGCGTTGAGCCATTTACGAGATCTGGGACATCACAAAACATTACCCCAGCAAAATTCTGAATAACTTGAAAACCGGAACACGAACTCGTGGACAAATTACTACGCAACAAAAGCTATCTATCCATGTATTTGGTTCCGGGATAGAACGACTTTAAAAAAAAAAATTTGCCAGGGTAATGTTTCAAACATTACCCCAGCAAAATATGTTTTTTCCTAATAACTTTAAAACTATAAGCAATTCATAACAATCCAGCATTATCACATGCACAGAAAATGCAATTTCTGAAAAGTAAACTGAGAGGTGAGGCTGAGCGGTTGATTCAACATTTGTCAATATCTTCTGACAATTACTTAACATCCTGGAACATCTTGAACCATCGATATAACGGGGCGTCGCAGTATAGTAACTTCGCAAAAAGGTTTTCGAGGAAACGGAATTCGATGTGGCGTTTGTCGCGCTCACGTAGGTAACCCNCCCCGCCCCCCTTGGTGAGATTTGGTGAGATTTTACCAGACCCCCTCCCCCTCCCCACAATCTCACGTGAGATTTTTTAAAATACATATTTCCAATGTAAGGGTTAGCTTCGATTAGGATTTCATATAAAAAAAACTGTTTCTTCTAATTTCTTTACTGTTTAGACGGTTTAGCTCCAACTTCGATTGCTATTGAACCTATGAACTGAAGTTGACGAACGAATTTTGATGGCTGCCGGGCATGGGAGGACATTTTCTCGAAATTTGACCCTTTTTCTAGCTGAAAAAAATTACGTGATATTTATCGAGACCCCCCCCTTTCCCCTACGTGAGATTTAGTGAGGTTTTTCTTGACCCCCTCCCTCCCCTAAACGTCTCACTTAATTAATGGACGCCCTCTTATATCCCACATACCTAGTCGGAGTCGGAGTCGTTGACGCTGGAGCGCAGCTTGGAGAGCGTGCGGCGCGCGGCAAACTCCCGCCTACCGGGCAAACTCCCGCCTACCGTCTTTGGTTTGGCTTTGGTTCCTCGCTATGCTATGGGAACTAATAGGAAGTTTAAAGTCTTATATCCCACACACCTAGTCGGAGTCGGAGTCGTTGACGCTAGAGCGCAGCTTGGAGAGCGTGCGGCGCGCGGCAAACTCCCGCCTACCGGGCAAACTCCCGCCTACCGTCTTTGGTTTGGCTTTGGTTCCTCGCTATGCTATGGGAACTAATAGGAAGTTTAAAGTNGCACTTGGACGACGAGTTCGTGTTCGAGTGAGTAGCACTATCAGAGTAAATACAAATGAGTAGGTCATCTTCATAGAAACGCACCGAGCGCGGTTTGTATGTGAGCGCGCCAATACGTATGCGGCGCGCACGCACACACTGACAAAATTTTGCGTGGATTAGCGGGGTGTTGTGCCGAATTTTGTCAGTGTGTGCGTGCGCGCCGCATACGCATGTATTTACTCTGGCACTATACAACCCGCTCCGTCGTGACATCACATCGACCCTCCTCAGTGTAGAAGGGGCGAACGAAGGTGTGCGGGTGAGTGCGAGAGAGAGTCGCATTCCAGCGAGGTTCCGCGGCCCTCTCCCGACCCGCACTGGGACGACGAGTTCGTGTTCGAGTGAGTAGCGTTAGACGTTGATGGTGACTAGTACTGTAGCATGACTAATCATTTACCAGCGCCGCGCCCGTACCTACGCTTGGCACTTGGCGCCGCGCCCGTGGCTCGTACACGACCGCGGCCTTCGCCCGATCCTCACTGGGACGACGAGTTCGTCTTCGAGTGAGTAGCACTAACACGTTGATGGTGCAGAGAGATGAGGCAGAGAGTCTTAAGGACTATTGTGGACGCCCACAACAGTCCTTAAGACGCGTTAAGACGTTGATGGTGACGAATGTAGCATGGCTCATGACGGCGCATCGTCTACCAGCCCGCTTGGCGCCGCGCCCGTACCTACGCTTGGCACTTGGCGCCGCGCCCGTGGCTCGTACGCGCCCGCGGCCTTCGCCCGATCCTCACTGGGACGACGAGTTTGTGTTCGAGTGAGTAGCACTAATGGCGCAATTTCACTAGTCGATAGGGTCCGCATGCGGAATGCGGGAGATTTCTGGAACGCATGCCACAGGGCCCGCATTCGGGGAACCGTTTTTATTCGTCGATAGGGTCCGCATGCGGAGTGCGAGAGATTTCTGGAACGCGTGCCACAGGGCCCGCAATCTGGGTGCGAAGTTTATTAAAAAATAGAAACAGGCATGGCGCGTCAGAAAATCTGAATGATGAATTTGATTGGTCGATAGCACGGTCAGTATACTGCATGCGGGAAATCCCCGCAGGCGTTGTACCGAACTGTTATGAGCCTCTGGGGATTTGGGTTTTTAAAAAAGAACACGAGATTAAAAGGATAAGACAGCCGTCTAGTTCGGATGGTGGAATGAGACTGGCGTGGAGATGTGAGGGATCGCAGGCTATGGATCGAAAAGGATGAGTCAGCAAAAGGCTAAATGTCGAGTAGGCAATATAGGGTGCGAGGGCTATCTGTAACACCTCCCGGGGGTAGACTAAACATCGGGGTGAAATGAGCGATGTTTAGGAAAAAACGGAAAAAGGTAAGTATTTAGGTTTTACACATTTCTGCGTATACTAGGAGATGGGATTTCTTCTGCATCAGGATGACGTTTAATGATCTTCAAGGGAATGGCTGGTTCGGGAGTTGGAGGAGCTGGAGCTGGTTCTACAGGTAAGTTTTCAGGTAAGTAACTGATAACATTTTACACATGTACGAAACTTTTGTGGTTAATGGTATTAGTCTAATTGAATCATTATACACAAAATAAATAATCATTTGTCTTTTACTTTTTGTGATATAAATTAAGTTACATTCTTTTTCACCAACCAACAATACATAGTTTTTTTTGTGTATATTAATATGAGTCATCTTATATTGTTAATCACAAATTCAATCTGAACAACTTCAATCGTGTAAAAAGTAGTAACACGAGTCGTACCTCTTGACACAATAAAAAATTGAAAGAAGCCTCCGGTACACTTTGTTAAAAGTAGACATGTATCAACATACACGAAAGAAAACTCAAAATTGGTTCACAAAGCCTTACTTGTATCATTTGGCACAAAATTATTTTCTTTTCTATACGTCGTAGAAACATACCGATTAGATACAAAAATAGCTAATTTTTCAGAGATTCACATTATGTTATAAAGTCAATTTTGATCTAAGTCGAGTTAGATCCCTTTTCACTGGGGGTACAGAATTCAGCGTTTGGTCAAATATTGGCCTCATTTTGTGGTGTTGGTGTGGTCACAGATGGGTTAGTAGAGAATAGAGATATTAGTCATTTGTCGTTAGCGTTGTACGGCCTATGTTCAGCAGTGGACGTTCTATGGCTGAAATGACGATGATGATGATGATGATGATGATGATGATGATTCTTTGCTACAAATAAATAATATTACACATTCTGTATAAACATACGTCATAAAATTGGTGTAAGATCTTGTAATCATTCTCTTGTTACTCGCATTAGCATAATCTCTTTTAGAGTATCTCATAGAAAACAAATTAAAATTCTGAAGAAAAGATTTACAACGAGTTTCAATATTGGTCGACGTACAATTACTTTTGAGATCAGTTAGGAAAGTGATTTCAGTGTAGTCTTTCGGAGAAACTCAAGTAAAATTGTTAAAAGGTCAATTGTAAGGCTGGGTTGCACCATCTTACTATAACTTTAACAAACGTCAAAAGTCTGTCGAACTTCATACAAAAAACACTGGTTATGGTTATAGTTACGGTTAAAATAAGGTGGTGCAACTCAGCCTAAGCCTAGGCGCAGATGACCAACTTTTTGTCGGCCGATGGTTTAGTCGGGCAGTTCATCAGTAGGTATGGGCATGTAATAGTATGGAAGTGCGCATATTACAACGATTTGGTATCGGCTGATTTATTCATACAAATTAGAATCGGGCCCAACTATCGGCCAACTAAAAATCGGCGGTCTGCGCCTAGGCTAAGAGTTTTAAAAATCAATTTAATGTAAATAATAAGCATTTGTTTACTGATTAAATTCGCACGCGTGCCAAAATCCGCATCAAAGGAAAAAGGCACTTAAAACGCTAGACGTAATACCATATTCTGTGGTAATACCTACCTTACGTCATGATGAAAACTGGTACCTAGCGATTCTACAAAAAACAAAACTTTATCAATTATCCGCAGCCAGAATTCCTCTATAACGAATGTCGATCCTAATAAAGTGGAACGAGGAGGTATTAATACTGACGGAAGTTAGACTCCGCTTAGTAAAAGCCTATGAAATGGGATGTTAATAGGCCGCCGGATAGACGCGGCTTTTAGTCATGTTTGAGCCGGAACGATTTGCGACTGCCTCTCAACTGT